CCTGGGGTGACACAACCCCAGCAGGAGAAGACCCTACAGGAAACCCTATGGGGTGAGCCAACAGGGCTGGCCAGCTGTGGTGTGTGGTCTTGTCCAGGCTTCCAGGGGTCTGGCAAGGGGTGCGGGTCAGAGCCAAGCAGGAGACCTGGCTCTATTCACTCCTGCCCAGACAACACCCGCAATGCACCTGCCCCAGAAAACCTATGCTCAGCAAAGATGGTGGCTGCAGGTCAGCTGTCCTTGGAATGTCCCCAAGGCATGGGCCCTGGAACCTGTGGGGTATTCTGTGGGCTTGGCACCTCTCAGGACAACTGTATCCTGACCCTAGTCACCCTCTGAAGTTCCTGGCCCCAGAGACAAGGGCCAGGCAGCCAGGTGAGCAGGGCCTGTGTGTCCCTGTGCTAGGAACCTGCTGGGGGCAGCTCCTGGGAAACAGAGGACCAGGACTTGAAGCCGTCAGTCCTTCTCCACAGATAAGCCTAGGGCTCCAATACAGTCAGGCTGGAGGACAGCTCTACAGAGCAACAGTCCTTGCACATAAAATCAGGACCAACCCGGCCGTGTCTGGAACTTTGGGTGAGACTGTTGCATCTGAGAACAGTTTCTGGTTAGGGTCTGGCCAAGTTGACTTCTGTGGTCTTCTTGCCATATGTTATTGAACTTGGAACGTGTGAAAGTTGTCAGAAGCAAAATGAACTTGTATCAAAGCTGACAAAAATAAATTTACAAAGCCAGGTGGATGTAAAAGCTGTCACTCATGCATGTGTGCCTGATCATGACTACCACCATAAAGGCTTCAGAGCCATGCCATGCGCATCAGCTGCCCAGCCCACAGACACTTTTGCAGGGACGTGTCTGTCCAGCCTCTGTATGGCCCAGGTAGGCAAGGACTCTGTTTCAAAATGACCTGTGCAGTCCCCCTCGTCTTGCCCCAAACTCCTTGACTATGCCCTGGGTGTCTCCTTGCAATGGTCAGTGCAGAACATATTAGTCTTTGGAGGATCTCTGTTGATTATTTAGGTCAATAGGTGTGAAACAATACACAGCTATCCTTGCTTAGCCTTGGAGACCCAAAACCCAACAGATGTGAACAGAGGATGTGCCCTCCACAGCTCCAGGGAGGATCCTTCATGCTTCTAGCTTCTGTGTCTCCAGGAGCCTCTGGGCTCTGTCTGATTGGCTACACCTGTCTTGACTCCTCTTGGTGTTTTCTCTGTCTCCTACAAGGGCAGAGGTTGTGACAGTTAAGTTGGAATGTCAGCTTGATTGCCTTGGGAGCTGCCCAGGGGATTGGTAGAACACACTCCTGGGTGTCTCTGGGTAGATTATGGAAGCGAAACCTTGGGGACTTTCTCTGGTCCTTGGCCCCTTCTTCCCAGGGGCTGTTCCCTCCTCTGCTTCCTGACCACCATGAGCTAATGATGTCCTGGAACCAGCTGACCATGGACTGTATCCCTTGAAACCATGAGCCAAGTAAACCTCTCCTCCTTTACATAGTGGGTGTTGGGTGTTGTGTCTCAGTGACAGAAAAGCCAATCCACACGTGATGGCACTCAGGCCTACCAGGATAACCCAGAATAAACTTCTCAAGGTTCTTCAAGCTACCAAATCTCTAGTCATACAAGGCGATATTCTGAGACGCCAGGGATTCTACAGGGTTTTACTGTGGTGGTGTGGGCGTCTTGGCTCAGGCTGCCATAACCATGCCGCAAGCTGGAGCTTAAACAGGAAATGTCCTTCCTCAGGGTTCTGGAGCTGGTGCCCTAGATCCAGGTGCAGCTGAGACTCAGATCTAGTGAGGGTGTTCCCTACTTTCCCATTGGCAGAGGGAGAGGAAGCAAGCTTTGGGCAGCTCTACCTTGCCACCTCGAAGCCAGAGACCCCCCTCCTTTCCCTCCCCTAGGGTTAAGGCTTTGGCATGTGGCCTTTAGGGGACACAAGCACCCCATTCAGGGTGTGTTTGGGTTTCACAAAACCTCTCACGCGGCAGCTTTCCACACACAATGCCAAGCTGGCGGTGGACTTCTGGAAGGCAAAGTGCTGCTGTGATTTGCGGGATGCTGCCTGTGCCTGCATGTCCAGGCTCAGCCCAGGCCCCAGTCCCATCCCAAGTGCTGATCTCAACACTGAACACTGGAGTGACAAAGTATGGCTGTGGGATGCCCTGCTTTGCAGCCGGAAAGCCACAAGCATAAGCTTCAAGCATCTGTCTGTCTTCCTGGTGCCCGTCCTGTATGCACACAAGCCACGGATGCTGGCCTGGGGCCCAGGCAGAGCTCTCGTGTGAGCTAGCTGCAGGCGTCTCCTGGCTCCCCACTCCTCTGTCCACCCCAAACCCAGCTGCAGCTCTGTCCCTCCTTGGGCTCTGCCCTGACTTTCCCAAGTGGAAAAGGAACCCCCGCCATGGGCTTGGGGCCCTCACCATCCTACAGTCACATGTCACCAATGGGGCAGCCTGGCCAAGCACCTCGACAGAGCCCAGGATCGGATGGGAATGCTTCGGCCACAGCAAGGGGCGGTCAGTACTGGCGCTTTCTCCCACTTAGCTGGGAGTCTTCCCCAGCAGGTAGTGGCACTGGCCTCTGCACCTGGTCCTGGGGCTGAGGGGGAGCTTTTGACTGTGCGAGGAGCTAGAACATGAGTGAGTGTGAGCCTGTGCACCGGCACGCATGTATGAGGGAGAGAGAGCTATGCACCTCCTGCTCGTCAGGAGCCCAGTGGAGCCTTGCTGTAGTCCCACGTTTCGGTGGCAAGGCCATGGGGCAGCTTCCACCTACAACAGACACTAACCCAGAGTGTACCACAGAGCATGTATGCTAAGAGCACACAGGTAAGAGAGCAGCGGCCACTGTGCCTCCCTGGCCGTGCTTCGAGGCTTGACCTGGTCAAAAGGCCCTCTTAGCTCCCTCATTCCACCTCAGCCACACCCCGTTGGTGGCCACAGATCTTCATGGGTGAGAGAAGGGCAGAGACTCCCAGGTGCCAGCCCCACCCACAGGACTTCTGCCTTGGAACATCCCCAGGTCACCCACCTCCTTCCTGTGGCCTGCGCTCTTCAGGGGAGACACAGACTGCACATAGGATGAAGCGGGGGCCTCCCTGCAAGGTTCCGGAAACCTGTTGAGGCACCAGGTGGGGAAAGTACTGTCCAGGGAGCCTCTCCCACCTGCATCCTGCCAGGGTCACTGGGCTGGTGGGTCTGGGGCAGTTCCCCACTGCGCCAGGCAGGCTTTCGGCAACCTGTGTCACATCTGGCAAACACCAGCTTCAGGAAACCCAGCAGGAGAGCCAGTGGGGCTGAGCAAAGAAACCAGGCCATCTTCTGGAGGGCAAGGGTGCTAGGGGCAGGGTCCAGGAGGAAAGCCAGCAAGTGGTGGCCCAGGATGACGTGGGCATCTGAGGTGCAGTGAGGCATCTGAAGTGTGGAGAGCCTGGGCCTCGGTTTTCCTGTCTCAGGAGAATCACCCATGCCTGCTCCGGAGGCGTACTGAACCCAAACTTGACAGAAAGACTACACTGTGAACTCTGCTGGGCCCAGACCCCCAAAGCTGGGAGAGAGCCACTGGCCTGTAGACAGTGTCACTTCTGCTAGGGTGGCCCTCAGAGGGGCGGTCCTGGATGCAGCCAGCCAGGGCACCCAACCCCTGCCTCCACCCGGTGTGTCCCTCCCTTGCTCTGTGCTTTCATGGGATCAATTCCAATGATACTGGCTCACTCCAAAGCACCCCAAGTAGAACATTATCCAGTCAGATTTTCACCATAAACAGACAGAAGCAGGTACAGTGTCCAGCATCACATGGCACAAGTAAATCTGGTTCATGATCTCATGTGACCACTTCAAATGATGTTTAATAATTGATGTTAAAGAATATCTTGTGACAGGTACATGCACGACAACGTTCGGCACAACTTTGTTATTGCAGAATGCATACAGGCTCATAAAACTCAGTTAAAGGATGGGTGTAAAGCTGCCTCCTCTGCAGGCTACATTGCTAATCTTTGTCCTTCTCTGTGATGAAGATGCAGTCTTTTAGTAAGCAGAGGTTACTTCCAGTTGCTGTTTCCACTTCCATTACAGTAACAGGCAGACCCCTCTGGTGTCTTGGCAACAGGCCACTTGCCTCAGGGACCTGCCTCAGCTGGCCTAGCAAAAAGAAGCAGGAGGTAGCGCGTTTCGAGTCTGGCATGTGCCTGCCCTGAGGTGCCCCCTCTTGGGTGGTGGCCACAGAGGTCTTCTGTTGCCTTGTTTGCTTCTGAAAGCCAGGATATCTGCAGTCTCCTGGATGCACAAAGTCCCACCTGGTGGACACCAGGGCAGAGATGGACTTGGCCCTCTGAGTCCCCACACCTGTCACAGCCAAGGGCACAGTGGACTTTTCTTTTCTGGCTATCCCCAACATCAGGGTTCAGCGGCCTTGCCCATCAGTGCCTGTCTCACTTGGGGGCCCCAAGGACCCCACCTGGCATCTCTCCTTGGATGAGCAGAAGACTCTCTGGTCCCCTCTGAAGCAGCTCCCAGGTAGGAGGGGACAGCAGTGACCACCTCCTGCTGCCCGCATGGAGGCCCCACAGCCGGACCCGCCGGTAGGTCAGGTCTGAAGCTCCCTCGCCTGGGAACACCCCCTAGGTAAAGCATCCCCGCCGACTACTCGACTCCACGCTCATCTCCGGCGTGAGCCGTGGGGCCCCTAAGAAAAGGAACAGGCGGGGCGGGGGGCTCTGAGGCCCTAGACTCACACACCAGATACGGTGGGACACAAGGACACCTGGATGTCCTGGCCGAACGAGGTCGTCCGCAGGGTAGAAGGGGTGGGAACTCGGGTCTCCACGCCCTCTCGGGCTTCCTCGCCAGGGCACTTCCGAAGGCGAAGGCGGGCCTGGCCCAGCAAGCGGCCGCCCACCTCGGCCTGCCCCACCCACTCGTGCGCCGCGACCACGCCCACCTCAGTCGGCCCCCGCCCACAGGGCCTCCCCCGGCCCCGCCCCGGCCGCCACCTGCGCAGGCGCGGCATGTGGACGACGAGTTTGAACGATGGCGCCCGCGCCGGGTTCTCGGCTGGTGCTGCGTGAGGAGACGCTTGGGGAGCGCAGCGGCCTGGGGCCTCACCACGACCTGGGTGCGCTGCGGGCGGGGACTGGCACCGGGCTTCTCCGAGGCGGCCGCATTGGCTGTCCGCGCCCTGAGGTGCTGACGCCGTCACTCTCAGCGGTCGCGGATGGACCAGCGAGGCGCCGACTGGGCCGACAGGGCCCACGGGAGGGGCGCGGGGCAGGGCGGGGCCGCCCCGGGTTTCTGGCTTGGGAGCCGGGATCCGAGGGTGGGAGTGCCCGCCCCGCGGGCGCGCCAGGCGTCTTCCGGGTCTTCACAGACTCCGCTTGCTCCTGTTCTGCTGAGGATATTCGTGTCTGATCACGAAGCATGGAGATAGGAAGTTTTCTTTGGGGGCTGTTTTAGGCATCATGATCTCTTTGACAAGAGGTTCTGTAGAACTTGTGCTAATTTTTTAAAAAAATTTTGAAACGAGATCGCACTGTCTAGTTCAGGCCGGCCTTGGACTCGCTGTGGAGCCCAGGCTGGCCTCCAACTCCTGGCGATCTTCCACAGGCGTGTGCCACCAGCACCTGCCTAGAACTTGTGCGAATTCATTGAAGGGTTCATGGAATTGTTTTAGCAAAGCCATATGGGCGTGGAGATTTCTGTTTATCTCTCTGGTGGTTTTAGAACATTTTTTATATTGTCAGTATCATCTGGGGTTATTGCAGAATCGGTTCATTTTATGTAAGTTGTTAAATGTAGAGTTGTTTATATCATGTATTTACTGCCCTGTAATGACTGGAGTCTATCAGTAGCCTTTCATGCGTGATATTGTTAATTTGTCCTCTTTTTAAGTCTTGCTAGAAATTTATGGATGTTGATTTTTTTTGTTGTTGCAACACTGGGAAATTGAACCCCAAACCTTTAGGCTGAGCTGTATCCCAGCCCCTTTATTTTTTATTTTGAGACAGGATCTCACTAAATCACTAAGTTGCCCGGGCTGGGATTGTCTAAGCCACCCAGAGTGCTGGGCTTACAGGTTTGTGCCACCACACCTGGCTAAATGTTGGTGGAAGAGCAGCTTTGGGGTTGGCTCTTCTCCAGTGTGTTTCTGGTTTAAATCATTTCTCTTTATTAGTCCTTCTTTTTGGTTGCTTTGCATGTATGTTGCTCTTTTTCCAGATTCTAGAGGCAAAAATATAAAATATTGATTTGAGACTTTCTTAAATATTTTAGTGCTATAAATTTCCCTCTACGCACTGTTAGCTGCAGCCCCGAGTTTTGTTAATGTCCTATTTTCATTTTCATTCAGTTTAATGTTTTTAAAATTTCCTCTGTGACTTCTTTGAGCTATGGATTATTTAGGAGTGTGTTTTTATAAAGTTTCACATGTTTGGGGATTTTCCTGTTATCTTTCTGTTATTGACTCTAGTGTAATTCCATTATGGTCATAGAATATACAGTACTCTGATTTTAATTTCTTTAAATTTGTGCAGGTTTGTTGAGTGCCACAGTATCTGGTCTGTATGGTGAATGTTACCCATGTCCTTGAAGAGAACATGTAAAGTGCTGATGTCAGCTAGATCCATGGGCTAATGGTGTGGTCTGTTCAAGCAGGAGGATTTTCTGTCTAGTAGGTCTGCTATCTCTTTTCATGTGATTTGAAGCTCTGTTGTTTGGTGCTTACACATTTAGGATTGTTTCTATCTTTTTTGTGAATTGACTCTTTAGCATATGATATGGTCCTTTTTGTCCCTAATTTTCTTTGTTGAGGCATTGTTATGGCTTGTATCTAGATATTCTCTCAAAGCCTTGTGTGCTCATAGATGGGGCTTTTGGTAGTGACTGGATCATGGGTGTGTAATATTGGATTGAGAGTTTTTGATGCTGGATTAATCCATTGATTGATTTAGCATAGTTTTGGGTATGGATAATGGGAAGACCCACCCTTGGGTGTGGGTGGCACCAACCAAGAGGCTTTTAGCCTGAATGGACAAAAAAGAGAATGAAAGAAGGTAGGCTGCTTCTTGCCTCTTGCCTGCCATACCATGAACTATTTCTCCTCTGCCACGTCCCTCTACTATGCCACCCTGCCTTGGAACCAGCTATGGACTGGAACCTCTACAAACTGTGAGCTAAAATAAATCTTTCCTCTTTCAACTTGTGGGTGTTGTATATTTTGCCCCAGCAATGAGAAAGTAATGAACAGATTTTGGTACCAGAAGTGGGGTTATTACTGTGATGCTGCATGGCCTTGTGGTTCACAAGCCCTTGGAACTGGCTTATGAGAAGAGTTTGCAAAGGTTTGGAGATGCTAACTGGAGAAGCAGCTCGAGAATGCTGTGAACAGAGCCTGATGGAAGATTCTGGTTAGAGCTTAGAAGACCAGAATGTTGACTGCAGTGCAGCTGGAAAAGACCAGGCTCAAAAGATATCAGTTGGAAACAAGGACTGTCTTGGCAGTTGGATTCCAGAACATGTGTGTTATGTTCTGGCAGAAAATTTGTCTACATTTTTACTCATGTCCAGAGACATTGCAGGAGACTGAGAGTAAGGCCAGTGGACTAGTTAATCTAGCAAAAGAAATGGCAAGGCAGTGTAATGTTGCAGTGGTATGGCTTTTAGCCAGCTCTACCTTGGGAATCAAGAGCAAAGGGCCCAGCAGAATTATTTAAAAAGTTTTGAGTTTGGCCAGAAAGAAAGCCCCAGTAAAGTTGCCTACTGCAAAGATGGAGTAGAGGAGAACTTGGTTGCTAAAAGGATTGGCATTAAGCAGCCAAGATCTTTGGAACTGGACAATAGAAAAGATGGCCTGAGTGCATCACAAGAACCAGCAGGACTCTACCTTTTGCAGCCTCAAACTTGCAAAGGTTGATGACTTTGCTTTGAAAAGAGAACCCCAGAGCACCATGTTCCAGAATGGTGGCAACCTAGAGAATTTGTTTCTTGGGGTTGAGTTCACAGTGCTCAGGAATCTAGGCACTCCACCTCTATAGCCAAGAGAAAAGGAAGCCTGGCTACTGCTTCAGGTGGCAGCAGATCCTGGCATCATCCACATGGTGCTGGTTTTAGGCACATGCAGAATACACAAGTTGTGGGGTCAGGAAGGCTTCCACCCAAATTTCAAAAGGCCTGGAAGGCCAGGCAGTGTGCTTCTGTGAAGCTGTGAGCATGAAGCTGAAGGTGCAGTGGAGCCCCGCCCCCCAAAAAATGAAGAAGCAGGGAATGTGAATCATCTGAGGAAAGCTGCAAAGAGTGAGCAAAGCCAGCCCAAGAGAGAAGCCATGAGAGCTGCAACCACCGGCGGTGCCGTAGGGGCAGGGCCACTCAAGTCTTTTGGAGTTCATATCTTACCCCAGATGCTGGGGATGAAACTATGAGATTTAATGTTTGCCCTACTGGATTTTGGTCTTGTTTTGGTCCCATTGTTTTTTGTTCTCCTATTTGTACCTTTTGGAATGGAAATGTTTATCTTGTGCCATTGTATGTTGGGAGGGTTTAACTTTTCATTTTTACAGGGACTCACAGCTGAGTTTGCCCTAAATCTCAGAGGAGAATTTGAACTTGGACCTTTCAGCAATGCTGAAAGTGTTAGGATTTTGGGAATTCTTAGAGATGGACTAAATGCATTTTGCTTAAAGGAATATGTATATGTCTTTTGGGGACCAAGGGCAGAATGTTTTGGCTTGTATCTAGATATTACCCCAAAGCCTCATGTGCTCATAGGTCGGGCTTTTCGGAGTGACTGGATCATGGGTGTGTGATAGTGGATTATGGCTATGATGACCAAATTAGTCCCCTAATTGGATTAGCATAGTTCTGAGTATGGCTGGATGGATTTGCTGAAGACAGAAGACCCACTTACTTGGGTGTAAGTGGCACCAATCAGTAGGCTTGTAACCTGAGTGGAATAAAAAGGGAATGAAGGAAGGAAGGCTCCTTTCTGCCTCCTGCCTGCCACAGTATGAACTGTTTCTCTGCCGTGTCGCTCTGCCATGCTACTCTGCTATGAACCAGCCAACTATAGACAAACCTCTACAAACCGTGAGCTAAAATAAACCTTCCCTCCGTTAACTTGTTGGTGCCAGGTATTTTGTCCCAGCATTGAAAAAGTAACTAAGACTTTCTTTGATAATTGTGTAGGTATTCTGTCTTTACTTATTTTTGGTGGTATTGGAGACTGAATCCAGGGGGTTGGCTTCATGCATGCAAGCTCTCTACCACTAAGTTCCAGCCTGATTCTTCAGCTTTGATCAGCATTTGCATGGCAAATGTTTTCCCATCTAGTTACTTTAAATTTTTACTTGCCTTGTCATCATATTTAAAATGAGTTTCTTGGTTCATTATTTTTATCCACTGTTTGTCTCTGTCTCTTAGTAATATTTTTGGACTGTTTACATTTATTGTAATTGTTACTATACCAGAACTTAAATGTGCCACTATAGTAGTTTTTTATTTTCCTTTTTTTTTGTTCCTCTTTTCCTGCCTTTTTGTGGTTTACTTGAATATTTTTAGTGTCCCATTTTGACTTCTCTGTTTCAGAGTATGTCTTTTTGTATGGTTTTCTTCATGGTTACACATTACAGTATAAATATGTAATTGAACACAGTTTACTTGTGTGGACATCTTACCATGTTCAAGTGAAAAGTAAAACTTTAGCACCACTGAAGTTTCTTTACCATCCCCATCTTAAAATTTAGGCTTGAATAGTCCCTTTACATACCTTGAGAACCACATTAGTGATACGATTTTTTTTACAACCACCTAACATTTTAAGTAACTAAGCCAGAGACATTTGCCTACATTTACCTCTTCTGTGATTCTTTCTTGAGCCCTGATGTTTGAGATTTCCTTCTATTTTCTTTCCTTCATGTTTGAGGAACTTTTTAAAGCAATTATCTTAGGGCAGATCTCCTGGTGACAAGTTCTCATAAGTTTTTCTTCGTCTGAAACTAATTTACCTTAAATCCTGAGTGCTGTTTTCAGGAGATGTGGATTTTTGGGTAGAAAGTTCTTTTGGTACTTGAAAAACTCCACTCAGAACTCCATGGTGTCTAAAGAGTAATCCACTGTCACTTAAGTTGTTTCCACTAAAGGAAATATGTCTTTTCTACATGGTTGCTTTCAAGATTCTTGTCTTTAATTTTCAGAAGTTTGATTCTGGTGTGTCTGGGTATGGCATTTTGGGGTTTATCCTTTTTGGATTTTCTAAGCTTCTTGGATTTTTTTTTTTTTTGGTCAGATTTGGAATTTTACAGCCATTGGTTTTTCAAATTTAAGTATTCTTTTGCTATCCAGTCTTTTTCTTCACTTCGAAGCTTCAGTTAGAATGCTGTGAATATTATGAATGAATATTGGGTCTTTTTTTCACAAGTCTCAGAAGTTCTGCTTATTTTTATAGTCTGTTTTTCCTGTGTTGGCTAGACTAGACAGTTTCAGTCAGTTCGTCTTTGTGTTCACTCTTTTAGAATCATTTCCCTCTATAATCTCCAGTTTTCTTTGTTTTTTGGGGGGTTTTTTTGGTACCGGGGATCAAACTCAGGACCTTGCGCTTGCGAGGCAGGCGCCAGAACCACTGAGCTAAATCCCCGGCCCTCCAGTTTTCTTTATATCTTCTGTTTGTTTGCCAAGACTGTGTTTTCATTTGTTTTAGGAATGTTCAGAATTGCTTGTTGAAGTAATTTTATGACAATTATTTTAAACTCCTTGTTAGGTCAGTTCTGGTTTCCCTGTAATCTTATTTGTGTCTGTCGATTATGTTTTTTAATTCAAATAGAGATTTTTCTGGTTCAAGGTCATTTTTCATACTGTGAACATTTTGTGAACTGTGAGTCCCTACTTCCTATTTGAATCTCTTCACTCACTGCTGGCACCTGCTACGTGTGTGGCCTTATTGCTGAGCTGGCAGCCACGCTCTAGAGACAGAAGCCCTTGCTATGCCGCCCTGGGACAGAAGTCAGGTCTACTGACATGGGCCTCTGTGTCAGCTGGAGTAGCACTAATGTCTGAGTCTGTCCTGCCAGGCCTCTCCTAGGCCTCTGACCACAGAGAGCAGGCTAGGTCTGTGTCTGGTGTTTCTGGAGTTTTGGGTGCTTAGTTTGGGATGTACAGGAGACATGCACATGTGCACACACATGGTCAGTCATTTCCAGAGGACTGCGATCCCTGGACAGTCGGTCTTTGTCCCTCCCTCCAAGTCCATGCTTGTCTTGTGCATTTCTGTCCAGGGTACCAGGTATTAAATTGGGAGTTACAAAGTGCAATCCATCAGGAACTGAAAGTCCTTAAACCATGTTGTAAACTTAATTATTTTAGCATATAAATGTTCCTGGGAAAGTGTTTGCTTATTCAGACCCAAACTGTCTTTTTGATTTTAAAGAAACGTTTTGTAATGGCATTGAGTATGCCTTGCAGAGGCAGGGTGGTGTGCCAAGCATTTGATGTCTGAGGGCGGGTGATCTCAGACTGTGGTCCCTGTGTGGAGGGACCATGAAGGGCTGGAGCGGAGCAGTTAATTAAGAGAACAAGCAGAGCCGGAGGAGGATGGTCTGGGAAGGGGGCTCAGAGGAAAGCAGCCAAGTAGGAAGAAGGAGGGGATGGGCTAGAGTCAAATTGGAGAAAAGATAAGCTGAAACTTTAGATGCAGTCCCTCTTCTTTAATGTTGATATTCAAACTTTGTATTATTATTAACAGTACTGGAGATTAAAACCCAGGGCCTTTGCACTGAGCTACCTTCCCAACCCTTTTTTATTTTTTATTTTGAGAAGTCACTAAGTTGCAGAGGATGGGCTTAAACTTGCTAAGTGACTTTCTTTCAGATTATGAATATCTTATTATAAGATATCTTATTATACAATATCTTATAAGAAAACATGGAAAATACAGAAATGTACAAGAAGAAAAATGAAGGGAGTTATCCAAATGGATTAAATGTGTTAACATTTTATGCCTTTCAATCTTTTTATATTTGTGTGTCAAGAAAAACATTCAGTAGCATTTATTAAAGAAGAGTTAGAGGAGATTGTTCTGGACCATTTGGATAGGTATAAGGACTGCTGCAGTGGGATTTTGCAGTGGGAGAGGGATTGGGTTCAACTCTGAATACAATGTGGGTATTTGTAGCCAAGCCAGGATGGTGGGGGCAGTCAGTGGGTGGTAAATTATTAAGAGGAAACAAGGAATCAGAGGGAGTTTTTTTCTGAAGACAGGCCAGGATGGTGGAGAGTGAGGAACTTGGTCAGGTGTTGAGGGTGAGTGGGTATCAAGGGTGGGGTCCTTGCTGATGTGTCTTAAGAGAGTTCTTTGATAACATGGAATTTTGCAAGGAAGTACACAAGTGGGTTTAGGAAAAGGTTCAACAGCCCAACAGCAGTTTGGCCAAATAATCTTCATATCTGTTGCATTTCTAAAAACTAATAATTTAGACTTTTGTTACATATTTATTTTCAATTTCAGAAGGATTAAAATCTTTTAATTGTCTATTTTTAGCTGAACTTCAGTCCTTATCTATTCCTGGAACATACCAAGAGAAGATTACTCACCTAGGCAGTTCTCTGATGCATTTTACAAGTCTAAAGTCTTTAGATCTTTCACACAACTCTTTGGTTAGTCTAGAGGTAAGTTTTAGGTTTGTTTCTTAAAAGAAAATTTATTGCTGCAAAATCAGTAGAAAGTATATTTACAGTAAATGTAATATATTTTGTAACTATGCATGAAATACTTATAAACTGTACACTTACAATGATACATAAATGTTGTATTGTTTATTGGTGTTTACTGCGAGCTAGATTTCTTACACATCACATTTCATCTTTAAACTACTTTGAAGACCAAAGTCAGCTTTCTGCTTCCAATGGATTATCTTTTTATTTTATTTATTTATTTTATTTTTTTCTTAAATTCTTTTATTGGTACATTTTAGGTATACAGTACGTTTACATTTATCACTGGGTGCTTGTACCTGCACATGATGTATCTTGGTTCTTATTTTTTTCCCCATTCCCTGTGCACCCTTCACCCCCTCCACCCTTCCCTATTTACATAGATTTCGTTTCCATTTTTTGTCTTTTCTCATAATTTTTCCTTTCCCTTCTTTCCTTTCCCCTTCCCCTCCCACCACCCCTACACCTTTGGACCTTTTCCTATTTCAAATTATCATTTATTCATTTTAATCATTTTAATCCTTATTTACACTTTCAGTTTCTCACACTAGAGAAACTAATCGGTATTTACACATGTGTGTCCCTATTTATTTCACTTAAGAGTATGGCCTCGATATGCATCCATTTAGCTATAAATGTCTCTAGTTTCTCTTTCTTTATGGCTGAGTAGTACTCCATTTTATTAAAAAACCACATCTTCTTTATCCAGTCTCCGGTTGATGGGCACTTGGGCTGTTTCCAAGCTTTCACTGTACATGGGTGCACATATATCGCTGTGGTATGATTCTTTTAATTCTTTTGGGAAGATCCCCAGCAGGGGAATAGCTGGGTCAAATGGGACCTCTAGCCCTAGTTCTTTGAGGTGTCTCCATACTGACTTCCACAGTGGTTGCATCAGTCTGCACTCCCACCAACAATGGAGAAGGGTTCCTTTCTCCCCACACCCCCGCCAGCATTTGTTATTGGTTGATTTCTTGATAGCAGCCATTCTTTGTGGGGTGAGGTGGAATCTCAGTGTTGTTTTCATCTGCATCTCTAGAATGACCAGTGATGTTGAACATTTTTTATGTTTATTTGCTGCTTTTACTTCTTTGAGAAATATCTGTTCATTTCAGATGCCCAGTTTTGAATTGGGTCTTTATATTTGGGGGGGGGTGTCTGAATTTTTTTAGTTCTTTATATATTCTAGATAGTAGACCTTTGTCTGAGGAACAGCTAGTAAACATTTTTTCCCACATTGTAGATTGTTGCTTAGCTCTGTTGGTGGTTTCTCTTGCAGTGCAGAAGCTTTTTAATTAAAAGAGATCTCAGTTGTTGATTCTTTGTGCAAGTTCCCATGCTACTGAGGTTTTGTTGATAAGGTTGTTTCCTGTGCCAGTGTCTTCAAGAGTTATACCTAACTTATCTTCCAGCAAGTTTAGTGTTTCTGTTTTAATATTTAGATCTTTAATCCACTTTGATTTTAGTTTAGTGCATGGTGACAGATATGGGTCTAGTTTTAATCTTTGGCAAGTTGAAATCCAGTTTTTCCAACACCATTTATTAAAGAGGCTATCTTTCTGGAGCTAGTTTTTATGTATGGTGTTAGTTAATGGCCCAGGACTCCCCTGCTCCCCTTCTAGCAGATCTGTTTGTTCTACCATTCATTGAAAGGACTGTTTCTCATTTAATTACCTTGGCATACTGTTCAAAAGCAGTTGACTACTCTGCTTATTCTGTATTCTGTTTTATGGATTGTATCTTTCTCTTGCACTGCCACTTGTCACTCTCTGGTGAGCATAGGGGTCTTATCAGCCCTCGGCCCACCTGCAGAACTGCCTGGGATTCACTGCAGTGTTAGCTGCTTCACAATTAGCCCCCTCAGGCATCTTAATCAGTTTACAGAAAGTATGCTTATAGATGTTATACATTTTCATAAACATAAAAATACAATATTAATGAAATAAAACCCTAAAAATATTTTTAACAAAATAGAGTCCAGACACCTGCTGAGCCCTGCACCCATCCAGCACCAGTGTGGGGACCCCGTGAGGAGGGGTCATGATAAGAGGAGAGCTGGCTCCAGCATGCGCTTCCCCGAGCAGCTGGCTCCACACCAGCCCTGTGGGGAGCTGCCCCTGCAACATGGGGAACCTGAGGCCTGCTGTGTCCACAGCCTACACCCCTGTACCAGCATCCACCCAGGTCATGGCATGGAGGGTCTTTCTGAGCAGACGTTCTCCACAGGGTTGACTACAGCTGTGACATTTTTCTTGTCTCTGTATATTTACTTATATGTACAGTTCTCTAAGTACCTCTGTTATCTCTGTATTACAGACTCCACAGATATTGAGCACTCTTCCTCTTCTCAGAAGCCAAGTTTGTCATCACAAAAGGTGTTGAATCCTTCACCTATTCCTGAAAGGTACAGGAAGTGCAGGATGCCTGGTGGGAGGTTCCAGGAGCTGTCAGACCAGGAGTGCTTGAGCCATCCGGAGAGGGCTGGTGGGCCCTGCAGCCTCAGGGAGAGTCTGACCATGCAGGACAGCTCAGGAGGCCGGAGCCAGAGAGCCTTTTCTCTCTCCAGGGTGTTGGAGGCTGAAGAGCAGACATTTCACAGCCTGAGCAACTCCAGAGTGGTGAGCTTGGGGCCTCGGTGTTGGTGGCCAGTGCCTTGCTTCCTTGACCAGGCAATAGAGTGGAGTGGTCATTAGGTCTTTGTGGGGCCACCTTGTACCTTTCAGTACTGACCTGACCCCACAATGAAGCCGCTGCTTAGCTTAGTTTTCCTTAGCATTTGCTCCTGAGCTCCACCATATCCCTTGCAGTACTCCATTCTTGGGGTGGAGGCATAGCCACACATTGCAGGTGTTTTTATCTCACTTGTTTATGTGGATCTTCTAAGTTGGAATGAGCCATCATGACCATCTGGAGCCACAGTGACTCTGTCATGTGGAAGAGGAAGTATATCAGGTGGTTTTCCAGGGGGCTCATCCTCATTAGGTATTGCGAGTTTTTCCACCCTCAGAGGAACCTAGAAGTCCTGTGGACAACATTGCCGTACCATTGGAGGCTTTGAGACATGAGCAAGGGCCACCCAGGTGAGCAGAGGAAGCCGTGGACCCAGAGTCCCTGGAGCAGGCGTCGGGCGCCATCCTTGTGTTGGGCAGAGCCCTGGAGGCAGACTGAGGCATGGCGACGCTTCCTAGTGGAAATGGGGGCTCCAGGTCTGAGAGCTGGAGATGCTCATGGCAGGACTTCTGGGTGGTCAGGGGCAGGTCTCACTTTTCCTAGTCAGCCTTGAGTTGGACAGGAGGTGGAAACAAGGGAGGCATAGTGTTGGCCACGCCCTCGTTGCTCTGAGCCCCTGTCGGGGCTGCACTTGGCTGTCCTTAACGCTGGCCAAGATGGTGCCCGGCAGCTGTCAGCTTCACAGCTGGCTGTGAGGTGCCCCTCCTGGGGCCAGGTCCCCTCCATGGCAGGAGGTGTGTTTTGGGCCTGCAGGCATGCTAGTGTTAAGAGAGCTCATCTTTGCAGTGACCAGTCATCTCATGGACTGAAAGCTGGTTTCATGACTTTGTCTCCATCACAGCCACCTCCCGCATCACACTTGGCAGCTCCGCTGGGGAGGAGGGCTCCTCTGGAGGTGGTGCTCCTGGAGGCGCTCCTCCACCTGGTAGATAAGCACTGGAGTGGCTGCAGGTCCCTGCATAGGAATGAGACGTTCCTAGGTGAGTCCTGAGCTAAGGTGGTTCTACCCTCCCGGCAGCATCTCGGCAGATGCTTCTAATCTGCCAGGTGTTTAGAATCAGGTGAGTTGTCTCAGCATTTGGACATTAACATGCTCCTGTGAGGATGATGTGGTCTCTGCTCCAGCAGGATAGCCAAGCTCTCAGCGAAGTGCCATCCATAGTCCAAGGCTGTATGTGTGCTGTCTTCATACAGGGGTTTGGAGGGCTGGAAACTGGCTATGGTCTTCTCCCAGTCTGCTGGGTGGGTTTGGTTGTATATAGGTCACAGGGTAATGCTGTGGGCCCACCACAGCATTACCTTCCTAGACAGGGCCCGAGTCCCTCCTACAGACCAGACTTGCTGTAGGTTCACACTAGGGGCTCTATCATCAGGTTTGCACTTAAAGCCCTGCAGCTGCCTTCTCTTTTCTTCTGTAGCCTGGGCTGTGTGCTAGTGTCCCCGAGGAGTTCACTCACCAGTGGCAGACCCTGGACAATGATCTGAGTCCCCTGTCCACTCAGTGTTGTGGCCCTTCAGCCCCTCCTGAATCAGGAACCCCTAAAGAGCTACAGCCCCCTGATCCTGACCCCAAATCTCTAACCCTCATGTTGGGCTAGAGTCTTATTTGTGTCACCAGGGCTGCTGCCCATCATGGAGTGTCCAGCACCCCCACACCATTCTAGACGTGGCTGCCCAGAGGTGCGGGCTTCATATCAGGGTCTCCTTTTTTCTGTTCTTCTCCCCCCCCACCTTGGTGGCATGTAGGGAAGCCTGAACAACATGACTTGGAGGCACTGATAGCCTTTGTCCCTGTGTGCCCCAGTGTTTTCCAGGCATATACCCAGGTGTTGGACATGTCTTGTTTGTAGTCCATCCTTCATTGGTAAGTATGTAATAGAATTCATTTTCCTCCTAGCCCAGGCAAGGCATGTTCTGTCATCTGTCCAAGAGTTGGCAGTAGCTCAGGGCAGTGTCACACCTGGGGATGTAGAAGTCAGCTGCCTGGCCCTTGAAAATCAGTCTCTGCACAGGCAGCTTGCTGAGCAGCACCAGCAGTACACCGAGACCATGGATGAGGGGACAGCAGAGCTCAGCAGCACCCAGCAGGAGATGGTGAGCGAGCCTGACACTGTTTCCACACGTTCTGGGACTGTTCTGCAATGGGGTGAAGGTAGACGTGTGACTTTGCAAACTGTCACTGGCCCTGGCTGTTCTCAGGCTGCTGCCTGTGCCCCCTCCAATCCCTCCAGGGCCATGACACCTCAGGAGTGCTGCCTGACTGCAGCATATCCAGACCATGGGTGGAGTAAATTGGGGGTGACAGTCCCAGCTCTGCCCACTGGTTGCTCTCTCTTCTCACAAGGTCTACATGGGAGAGATGGGGGCTGGGGGATGAAACCATGCTCAAGGCAGCATATTTGTCCCAGTCCTGATACGTGAGCTTGCACTTAGCTAGGGGATCCTGGTGCTAGCCAGCAGCAGGTTGCCCTGTGTGATCTGATCAACCATCTCCCACCAGGTGGCGTCCAAAGGCAACCAGAGCTGGATGGGACCCTTAGAAGGTCCTGTGGTGTTTGAAAGTATCAGGGGTGTTCTCTTTTGTCAACATCCATACGTGTGGGCTTTGTCTCAGAGTGGGGGTTGGGTTGCAGAGCTGCTGCTAGGCCCACCAGGTACAACACTGACCCACTGGGCCAGCTCTTGATGGGTGTGCAGAGCTGCACTCCAAGGTGCACATCTGGGACCAGCACATGATCAGTCGGAGGGCTGCTGAAAGTCGCTGAGCAGGGCCCCTGCCCGGGGCTACTGTCTCACCTCCTAGGAGGCCTCGGTGCTCCACAGTGTGGGGACATCCCTGCCTCTGGCCATGGAGGAGGGCCCACAGGGGTTTCCACCACTGCAGCAGCTGCCCATCTGGCCCCCTGGATCACTGGCCTCATTTTAAAACAGGCTGAAAACACCGAAGGATTTCTTGGACAGGGATCTGAAATTGGTGGGCAAATAATTATTTATTTATGTGGTACTGGGGATTGAACCCAGGCCCTTCATGCTGAGCTATATCCCCAGCCTTTTTAAAAAACTTTTGAGAGAGTCTTACTAAGTTAAACTTGCGATCCTCCTGCCTCAGCCTCCCAGAGTGCTAGAATTACTGACCTGTGCTAAATCCTCTATGAGAATCCTTGTGAGAGATCCCATGTGAAGTTTCATTTTTAGAGAAAAAAGAAAAACAATGCAGTTCTATAGAGAGCCTCTGGCCCTTGCACACACCGTGAGTCTCCTGCATGCACATGGGCCTTTTCATCTAGAAAGGGACAGAGTCCAGTATGCCTGGACCACAGCCTGGGGCAAAATGTGGACTGTGTGTGACAGTGTCAGCCTGGGGACATGGCTCTGCCTGCAGTGAGGACACTGCCCACAATGACTATCAGGTTGGTACACACTGGGAATCTTATCAGATCAGAACCAGTATATCCAGACCCATGGAGCCTGAGTCAGCTTGGTGCTGCTGTCATGTAGAGTTCATGCACAGAGGTGTGGTCTCTGTGGTGCCTGGTCCCTCGCCTTCTTATGCAGTTGGACCAGCACTGTCTCAGAGAGCGGTCTCAGTTCCAGGACAAGTGCAGGCCAGAGTTCCCTGTCTGAGCAAGTGACCAAGCCCTGCTCCTATGTCTTCTCCAAGTCCACTCCTGTGTGGCCCAGCTATAGGAAGAAGCAACCAGCCAGGGTGTTCAGGAGCCCATGTGGTGGCACCACCTAGGGACAGCTGGGAGTGTTGAGAGGAGCGGCGTGTGGGCTCATCGCCAAGCCCGAGTGCTCGCTGTGCAGTGCTGGCTCTGGTGTGTGTGCCTGCAGAGGGCCAGGCAGCAGCGAAGGTGGAGGCTCTGCTACTAACCTTGTGTGCCTAGGGTGGCCTCCAAGTTAGTGGCACTGCCCAAGGTGGGCACATTCTGTCCCTTGCCACCTGTGCTCACCAGCCTGGACTGTAGCCAGGAGCTGGGAGCTAGACATAGCCAGCCACTGACAGCTTTCTGTGTGGCCTCAGAGTGCACAGGGAAGGAAGAGCCTGGGCATTGGCCTCATTGCAGGAGGCATTGAAAGATGCAAGGTGGGGTTCCGTGGAGTCCCAGGCCAGCTGGCTGGCTGTGCCTGCAGGTACCTGGGATGGGCAGGTGAGACTGCAAATCTGTGGGAGCCCTGGTCCACCTTGGATAGCCACCTGTCACCGAGGACCCGAGGCACAGGAGGGACTCTCACTGTGGACAAAGGCTGAGGGCTTTTGGAGAGGGAGGACCCACAAGTCACCACCTGCTGTTCCTCCTGCACAAGACCTGAGGGTCACTGGGAAGGTAGCCTTGTATGTCTCAAGGATCTGGAATATGGGTTCCCCTCCCTCCTAGAAGGAAGTTGCATTGCTCAGGAAGGGGGTGCTTTTTTCTCATTGTCATTTAGAATTATATAAAAAAGAAAGTGCTGGTCATCAAAGAGTTTTAATTCCTTTTAATATATTTATTTTACTGAATTTGACTTGTCTATTTAAGTCTGTTTTCTGTGCCCTTAGGATATCTTGAGACAACATTTAGATAGATCTTTGGAGGAGAATAATAGTTTAAAATCTCTGTTGTTTAACATGAAAAAAAGAAGTAAAAAATGGAGAAATGTCAGCTGCGTTAAATGTGCAGATCTCTGGTGAGTTTCTCGTTTATTTGGTAACGGTGCTTGTTGAGAGTTGACTTTAGATGTGCATGTGGAGACCGCATTCTAAATCATTCTCGCCAGGAAGGGGAGGCAGCAGGTACTGTCCGAGCAGGATGGGTGCCCCTGCCTCGTTGGTCCTTATGTTGATGGCCATGTTGGCAGAGCATAGGGGAACAGCTTCCCAAGGGCCAGCAGGGCAGGTGTGTGGAGGGCACTGCTTACAGTTTCCTTTGGCTCCTAGAACCTTGTGTGTGTCCTCCATTGGTGTGGTGCTGAGGAACTGGGGAGGCGTCCTGGTCCTGCCGCAGGGGAGCATGCTCTGGCTGTGTTCCTGACCCTGAGTGGCACTCTGAGGTTGGTTCTCTGGTCACTGTTTCCTCCAGGTCCAGATAATTTGCCTTTCTGCTCTTCATTTACTTTAGTTCTGTTTTGCCATTTTAAGAGGCGTGCATTTAGTATTTGGGGTTCCAACTGAAAAGAATCATTGGTAATGCTGTCTTATGTTTCCATGGCAGTGTCTCTGGGTCAGTTTGTACTTCGTGGGGATAGACAGTATGCATCCTCTCCTCATGTCTCTCAGGGGGGCTTTAAAGGACAGGAAGGAAGTGCCCCTTGCCGTGGCCTTTGCAGCAGGAAGGACCATAGATGGGGCATGCCACCGGGTCTGTCTTGGGCAGGGTATCTGCTTGGACCTCTTGCCCACTTACTTTTATTGGGGTGTTTTATTGAGTGGTAGGAGTTCTTTATATTCATTTTCCTTTTGTAAATGTAAATTTTTTCCCCTTTAAACTTTCTGTTTCTGGAGACATTGCTTACATTTACTCGTGGTTGGGTTCCTTCTATCTTAGCCTTCATTTCTAGTGTAATTCCTTTTCTTTATTGCTAATTCTGTCCTGAGTTTTCTGATTTGGACTCAGACTGCTCTAATTCCTGTTTGTCCTTCCTTGTTCTGATATGATGGGTTCCCCTGTGGCCTGGCTGTCAGTGTCTTATGTTCTTATAGTGCCTGTCAGACTTGATGGCAGTACTTTCCTTTTCATTTTATACGACATTTGTTCTAGAAGACGACAGGGTTAGTGTAGCTTTTCTGACTACAGATCCAAAATGTGACCTCCTCCTTTTGGGGATTTTTCAGGCCCTGTTTCCTCCCCAGCCCTCTCTTGATGCCCTTGCACTGTCGGACTTCTCTGCACCAGCCTTTCTCTGCAGTGTGAGCCTTGTTCTAGAAGGAGCTAGCCAGTCAGCCCTCCAGTCTGCGTGAGACCCCCTAGTCTCACCTCACTGGAGGGATGGAACCCCTTCTATATCTACCAGCATTCTCTTGCTGACCCAGGAAATCAGGGTACTTGGGGGCTCTCTCCCCTCAGATTTGTCGGTGCCCACCGCCAACCTCTGCTTCTCACAGATGCAGACACTGTTTATGACCTGGGGCTGCTGGGCCTGTCCCAAGGCTCCTGTGTTTACGGTTGTAAGGCTCCCTTATCCCTTGTTCATGGGGTTCTGGTTTCTGATCTACTCACTCTTGGTGTTTGACAAACATGAGGCTTCTGGGAGATGCTGTCACTGCCCTTTCCCAGAATACCTCCTGTTCATGCCCTTGAGGAGGAATTTGAGTAGACAGATCCCAAAGCATGTTACCTTGCCTGAGCACACTGTGTTTGCCCTCAGTTGCTGTTGGGTTTGTTGGTTATCCTTTGCCTTGACTTGCCCTCTCTGGCTAGCTCATCTCTGATGATGTGTGTTATACAGTCTCGTATCTAAAGGTGGATTTCTTTTTATCCTGCATTTGGATTTTAGGGAGCCAGTAAATGATATGTCTCTTTCCTTCTCGAGTTGAAACCAAGAAAGGCAGGAACTATGTAGAAAGAAACCAAACACAGGCTCTGTCACTGATGAGTACCAAATCAGAGGACGCTCATCAGAAACATGTGGCCACCACGGGCTTCTGAATGCTCCTCCCCAAGCCACAGATCCCCTCAGGCATGGTTTGCTTCCTGATAGGAGAGACACTCTCCAGCAGGCAGATCCAGTACAGGAGGTACACACTCATAACTCCTCTCCACCTGGGGATGGGGCTCTTCAGGGGCCCTGCCCTGCTACCACTTCCACCTCTCAGAGGAAGCTAGCGATGGGGCCTCAGCACCTATATCCACCCCCATCTTTGGATCCCTTATGAAAGTGGACCTTTTCCAAGCCATATTCTTTTTCTTGTGACCCAGGTCCAGTTTAAACTAGCATTGCTGAAAATATAGAAATGAGTTTCACTAAACAGTGCCACTTTTTTTCCTCCTTTAGGACTTCAGACGAGTGTCAAGCAACTGTCTGGTGAGGTTGTGGAACTAAAGCAGCACCTCAAGCACTATGACAAGATTCAGGAGCTCACTCAGATGCTACAGGAGAGCCACAGGTGCCCACGGGGCCGGCCCGGGAGCCAAGGAAGGGGTGGGGGCGTGGAGGGTGGAGCTGGCCTAGGTCATCCTAGGCAGGCAGAGGTGCAGTTGGCATTTGTCTCAGTGCTTGGTGTCCGAGACCCACATGTGTCTCCATGTGGACTTGGAACTTCCATGAATGTCCCCCTCCTGGCGAAAAGTGAGGCCCTTTATGCTACAGCACTCTGTGAAGTGTGAGCAGGAGGCGTGGCCAGGGGAGATGAGAGGTAAGAGGCACATGAGTAATGGTGACATGCAGCACAGTGTCCAGTTTCCCTGGGCCATGGTCCTGTGCAGTTTGTGGCTGTCCACTTAGAAACATGGAGATCCCATCTTTACTCCCTGCCTGTGTTTGGGGGTCTTGGGACAATCCAGACAGAGCCTCAGCTTTTATTCAGAAAAATATGTGCTGGAAAGCAGGTGGGGGCTGGGTATGGAGAGGAAGTTGGCCTTGGGCAGAGAGGCAAGTTGCTAAGCAGGGAGAGCTGTCACACCGTGCCTTGGGGATGTAGCACGTGAGCCTGGGCTCCCTGGGCTCAGCAGTGTTCTCACCTCTGCCTGTCCCTTCACTCTCCTCCCTCGCATTCTCTTTTCTCCTTTTTCCTTCGCTGAGGCGACCACCCATCCTTATGTTCAGGAGTAGTCTGGTCACAATCCACACTGACTCTCTAGGGATTGATACAGGCCCTAACCCACATGGCCCCACCACAGGCTTAAGTTACTGGGGAGGGAAGGAGAGGAGGTTGAGCTGAGACTGGGTGGGGAGAACAGAAGAACCAGCCATCTCAGAGGCAGGGCAGTGGCAGGCTGACCTCTCCCTGGAGTCCCTGGGCATCTCTGACAGAGCAGGGAGGCCTTAGCAGTCAGGCTGTAGCCCACATGTGGGCAGGACAGGGTGCAGAGCTTCTAAATGCAGTGGGATATGGCCTTGGCCTCTGGGGTTCATGCTGACTCTGTCCAAGTATTTCTGTGATCCAAGCAAACAGGTCCAGTGCCTACACAGTGGATTGGTCTGTGGTGTGGCCATCTTTGTGGTGAAATGGCAGAAGTCAGTGTAGCCTGCATGGTCTAAACTAGTGCTGTCCTAAATGTCCTTTGTCACTGCTGACTCAGTGAGCAGGCACACTGGAAGCAAAGAGTGGGGAAAACACAGCAGCACTTAGGAAGCCCTTCTCCAGGGAAGGTGGTGAAGAGTGTAGAGAAGAGGCCAGGGATGGTGGCACACACCTATAATCCCAGCACTTGGGGGGCCGAGGCAGGAGGATCACCAGGAGTTTGAGACCAGCCTGGGCTACATAGTTCAAGTCCAGCCTGGACTACACAGTGATACCCTGTCTCCACAAAAACAGGAGTAGAGAGAGGGGACTTTTCTATGGCACTGTTACACATCCATGTTGCTACCTGTGATTGGGAATTAGAAACACTACTGTCTGGATTCCTTCTAGAATTAGTTGTTTTGCTGGCCACAAAAGTTACCATCCTCTTCTCCAGGAGCCACGCAGGACCAGTGTGGGGGCCCCATGTGTCCACCCATTGCTCCTTCAGCTCATTCATCTGCTCTCACTTGGGCAGAGGCTCAGGCAGGCCCACCTGTGCCTCTGTGGGGAAGGGCTGAGCAGACAGGCAGCCGGCAGTGGTAGAGGTGATGAGGCCCTGGGCAGTGGACCTGGTGTCCCTGGACGCTGAGAGATCCTGACCAGGGTGGGGCGGTAAGAGGGCAGTGCTGCTTCGGTGTGGGAAGGAGTCTAGCGATCACCTCCCTGTGGTTTCCAGCTCCCTGCTCAGCACCAGCGAGCACCTCCTGCAGGAGCTGAGCAGGGAAAGGGCCCAGCACAGGGCAGAGGTGGAGCAGATGCGCTGGAGCTTCCAGGAGCTCAAGAAGACCACAGCCCTGTTCCCACCCCACAGCGCCAGCCTGGGGGGCCGCCAGTCCTGCTGATCCTGCCCAAAGCCCGGCACCTCCTCTGCCGCCAACACAGTGCCGTGCGTGCACTTTTGTGCCTCTCTGTTCGCTGATGAGACTTGTTCTTTGTGTTTTTAGTTACATTTTCCTCATTGAGACACGTTCAGGGGCTGTAGCTCGGCTCTCTGAAGCACCCTAAAATGACAGGGTGGACCCCAGGCCTTCCCCTGTTTTGAGACAGACAGACTATATTGCTTTGTCATCAGAATAGCCTGAGATGAAGGCACCATAGCACTTTTCTTCCCCACGTGATGTACTGTGTATGCCAATTAAAGTAATAATTTCTTGTGTGGCAGTCCTTATCAATGAATGATACATTCTGAAAAGTTAATTTTTAAGTGGCTCTTTATAAATTTTAAGTTTCTCATTGCATTCATTTATAAAATGAGCTATATGGGCCGGGAATTTAGCTCAGTGGTTCTGGCGCCTGCCTAGAAAGCGCAAGGTCCAGAGTTTGATCCCTGGTACCAAAAAATAAATAAATAAATAAATAAAATAAGCTGTACACGGTGGTAGACGAGCAAGAATAAGTTCCAGGACTTAATAAAAGTAACACTGAGAAGATGTGAGCAGGCTGGGCACGGTGGTGTACTCGGGAGGCTGAGCCAGGAGAATCACCATGAGTTCAAGGCCAGCTGAACTACATAGACCCTGTCTCAAAAAAACAACAAAAAAGACGAGAAATCTTTTTAAATACTGTTTTCCTTTATTAACATATGATAGTAAAAATACCTGCCCAAACCCTGCCTCTTCTTTATAGTGTATATCTGAAAATTGTCATAATAGCACGGAAAACTAGGTTTTTAGTTTGGAAACTTGTCACATATGTAATCTTTGCTTTGATTGGTAAAACAAGATGATTTTTTAAAACAAGGTTTGATTTAGTGAGAACGACCCGGCCTCAGAAGATGGTGATCTGCTCATGTGTTAGCGTCCTGGCGCTGGGAGTGGAAGCTGGGAGTGAGCACCTCTCCCTCAGCTCTTCCTGCCCTGTTCCTCCCTGTCATGGCTGTGTCCCTGTCGTGGTCATGTGTAGACGTGGTTGTGTCCGACAGCACCAGTTTCTCTAACTTAGCCGAAAATCATGTCCCTGACTTTAGTGTTGGCACAGTGGGGTGGGCTTCTTCCGTCAGACTATTTAAAAGTATTAAGAGTGTAGTTTTAATCCATTATTACCTAGTAGGCAGTGACCATTGTGCCATTTCTTCATGTTTATTACGTTTGGGTTTTACTGAGCTTCTTGGACCCATGAGTTCATATTCCCATCAGATCTGGAGTTTTGGGTCTCAGTTTCTTCAGATTTCTCATCTGGCCAGTGTCTGCCTCTCCCCTCCTCTTAGATCTCCATTGACTCTAGACCAGGACATTGCCCCTAGGTCTCTAAACTCATTTGGTTTCCCCAGTCTTTGCTGTCTCGGTGTGTCACTCTGGTTGTGTGTCACTTAGCTTTCCTTCCACGTGCCTCACGTGGTGTAAGCCTGTGCAGTGACTTTTTATTATCAGTAATTACATATATTTGGTCCTAATAGTCCCCTTGGTTCTTTAGGGTTATTCTTTTGTGCTCCTGTTCCCTGTAACCCTTAGATGCACCCTTGGTGGCTTTGCTGGGTTATTCCCGACTGTTTACAGAGCTGCCCTGCTGGCCTGCCCACATTCATAGTGCCTGAGGTGTTGCTTCATGTTTCTGCATTTCCAGTCTGTGACCTCTTCGTCCTGGAAGGTGTGTGATACACGACCTTGTGGTTTTAACCTGCCTCTTCACACTGAGCACCTTTGCATGTGTTTATTGGTCATCCAGATTTTTTTTTTGTCCAGTAAATGTTCAAACTTGTCCATTTTTCTGTTGGGAGGTTTATCTTTTATTTATTTGCAGGAGTTATTTATAGGTTGAGCATCCTATGAAAGTTCATTGTAAACCCCTTACCTGGCGTGCATAAGGTGCTGGGTTCCAAGCCTAGCACTGTAAAAAAAAAATTACACTAGAGATACTCAACCCGTAAGTCTATGTAAATATTCCAGAATCTGAATCTGAAACACTTCTGGTCCCAAGCATTTTAGATAAGGAACACTCACTCAACCTGTAATTCTGAGCCGTGTGCTTTCTAAATAGTGCTGCTTCTCATATTTTAATAGTCTTTCTTAAGAGGAATTGCAAACTTTAATAGGGTTCAATGTATCAGTATTTTTCTTTATGACTGAAGCATTTTGGATCCTAATTAAAAAAGAAGCAAAACTCCCTTTTCATGGTCATTGTGATGCTGTGAAATACATATTTGATCTTTGTCCAGTTTTCTGACATACTGCTCCTAAAACCCTTAGAGTCTCAGTAGTGATTGGGTCCTTTGTGTGCTAGTTAGTGTACTGTTGGCCTAGGTAGCGCAGGGAAAGACCAAAGAAGGATCCCAGGATTTCAGCTGCACCATCACCCCGGTCTCGGGGTGGGGCGGTCAGACAGTTAAATTGATCACCGGTGGCTAGTGATAGAGTCACCCTCGTCTGCATAATGAGGCTTCCACAAAAATTGAGAAGGGCTGAGCTCGGGGGCTTCTGGAGAGCTGAACGTGGGGAGGCTGCCGGAGAGTAGTGTCCGGAGCGTGTCTGGGAGCCCCACACCTCCTCATACATCGCCCTGTTCAGCTCTTCAGTTGCACCCTTTACGCATGCTTTGTGATAAACTCGTAAGTGTGAACCTTTCCTGAGTGTGTTCTGTGAGCTTTTTAAGCAACGTAACTGAGCCCAGAAAGAAAGGTTCATGGGAACCCCAAATTATAGTGGGTTGATAAGAAATGGGAAGGAGCGCCTGGGCCTTGCTGCTCGCATCTGCAGGTGGAGGAATGTCCTTGGGGACGGGCTCTCAACCCATCCATTCTAAGGCTCCCTCCAGCTCCAGGGGTACGGTGTCAGGATTAGTGACTAGGGGATTCCCTGTGGAGTCTGCTGCAGAGCTGCCTGACTGCTGGTGAGGAGGAGTCCCCATTATTTGAGGTCACAGAGTCATCTATGTTGATTATTAGGAACATTTAAGGCACTGAGCTTGTTTTTCCTGTATCTTCAGAGTTATGAAGATAGCCTGCTGTTGACTTCCAGAAAATTTTCTATTTTTGTTTATTTTGGATTTTTGCATATATTCTACCTAGAGTGGATTTTCGTGTATGCTGTGAAGGTTAGGGATCTGATCACAGTGCTTTCCTCAGAGGAGTCCAATTATCCCAGCCCTGTCCACAGACAAGATCCCGATATCTCTCTCAACTCTGACCCCGCCTCCTTTCCTGCCGATTCTACACTGGGCACATCCTTCCGTCCCACATTTGGGATACCGGGCTTTTCTTGACCCTTTGCATTTCACAGATTTACTGAAACTTGGTTTCCTGAGCAAGTAGATGTGAATGAAATTCTAGGGCAGCATCAGACACATAGTAAGCACCATGCAACCGCTTGCTGTAATAGCAATTGCCGTAACTTTCATGGGAGCAGCAGCTTATGGTTTCCTGAGGGTGTCACGTATCGGTGCCAGGTCATATGACGTAAGCTGGGCGGTACATGCCTCTTGCGTCTGTTTTATCCTCTTTTGGAAAACAGCTTCTTGGTCTGGTAGTCAGACTGGCATTGATTTTTTTTTTTTTTGGCAGCCTGCTGCTGATGCACACCTGTGTTTGGGCAACTGTGGTGCTTGAGGCACAGTTCACACATGATCCTGTCCTTGAATCTGACCCCTCCCCAGAGCTGCACTGTCTCAAACCCCACAGATGGCTGTCACCAGCCCTCCTGTTGGTCAGCAGCGCTCCTGTGTAAGCCAGGAAGCCCAGGAGGCAGGTGACCAGAGGCTCTTGCTCGACCTGCGGTCCCTTGTGGGGTCCTGTGTTGTTTTTGTGCTGTGCCTGTGGGTGTCAAGGCCCAACTGGCCCAAGGCTGTGACAGCTAGTGCAGACTGCATATACTTGTACTTTGAGGAAAACAGAGCAATCCATGTTTTAACATCTTTATTCATCACTTTACCAATTTGACACACAATGTTAACAGCAAGCACACAGACAGAGCTGTTTCACTAATGGTTTACAAGCCAGGCCGTGACAGCAAGTCCAACAGGTGACACAATGCTTTGTGCTCTACGGGAGGGACAGTGGGACCATCAGACCCCATAGACATTCCTGGTAAGTGTGGCTTAGACATCTGCAGAAGTGCCTTTTCTGAGTCAGAACACCCAATACATCAACATTACCCAACACACCGCTAAAGTGATGTGCTCAGTACTCCCTAACATTAATAAAATAGTGTAAAAATATATTGCATATATATATATAAATTTGTTTCCCTTTCTTGAAAAAAACTTAGTACAAACTAGTAGTATATTATCCCTTTCAAGTTTAAGTTGTGCAAGTTTCCTTTATTGTTTGGCTTGGTTTAGTTTTTAAGAGGTCTAAACAAGAGTGAGTGAGTTAACTTAAGCATCTCAAAATGCCTGTCATGACTCCCTGTCACATGCCTCTGAACAAGGCCACAACCCTGAACCACTGGAGTTCAGAGTGCTCAGTAGTAAGAGGAAGAAAGTAGTTGTGGTTCAGTGTTTGAAAGACAGTGTAGCCTAATAATAACTTCACAGTACAGCTAAATTGTCACCCTTGTATTGAACAGATGACAAGGCGTTCCCACGTGGTGTGTGCTGCAGAACCGGGGAGCAGCCTGCTCTTATAGGATTCTGTGGGAGGAAGTGAGCCAGAGAGGCAGGCACATTTTCCCTATAAAGGGGCAGATGGTAAACACTGTCAGTGTCTGGGCCATGACATCTGTCTCAGCCCCTCCCTGTTCCAGTCGCGGTGCCAAAGCAGCCATGGACAATCATAAACACACGGCTGTGGCCATGTGCCAGTAAAACTTTATTCGTAAAAACAGTCAGCAGCTCTAGCAGCCCAGGACCACTGAGGGTGGGAGGAGTGAGCTGCCCATGCCCACCCTGACCCATCAGCCATTGGGACTCAGGGCTAGGCAGCAGACAGGAAGGGGTAGGGGGCAGGAAACACAAGTGGAACCATTACACGTGCCTTTCCAGACTCACCTGTATCTGTGTGACTCACCTGCCCCAAACAGAAGACTAAGGATATTAAAAGGCGTAAAAATACTCCAGTATAAATATAAATTTTTGGTGTATCTTAAACATGTAATTTGAGCTTTGATTTTCATAGTTATTGACCACTAACTAGTTGCTTATACTATAGCATTAATAAATATTCTGCTAGGATCATATTCTCCAGTACTTTCCAACCTCCTCCTCCTTTGATGTTTAGACACCATCTACATTGTTCCCTCAACCCCTATAATCTGTCCCTGACTCCTGGGTGTTGTCTCCACAGAGTCTGTCCCTGCTCTGAAGTGTCACCTCCTGACAGAACCTATCCCTGTCTCCTGAGTGTCACCTGAAAGAACCGTCCGTCTCTTGAATGTTCTCCCTGACGGAACGGGTCCCTGCTCTGAGGTGTCACCTCCTGATGGAACATGTTCCTGTGTCAGATTGCATGCTGTGTGGTTTCTCTTACAGGCATTTAACTCTTGAACCATGTTAGAAGCTGACTGGTATGACATAAACATGCAACACACACCCTGCCTGTGTGTTGGTAATAGTCACGGACTGAGGAAGATGCATGTGTCTGTTTGTGTAGTGGAGTTGGGAGTCCATGCAGATGTTCTGTTCAGCAGATACACAGAGATGCCATGATGAGTCCTACTATTTAAACTGACAGTATGGTGACCACTAAGTCTTCACAATTTAATTTTTACTACCACTTCCTTGCTAAGTGATGGAGATGGAGTGTGTGTTTTCAGAGCTACACTTTGAAACTGACTGGAGAAGGATGCTGTCCTCACCTATGCATGTGTCTGAGGAAACCTTGGGAGCTACTGGGGACAGGGACGGGACATAGGGAGACTGACACATGCACCTGATGCCACCCGAGGGTCATGTGGCGGGAGAGCCTGGGCTAGGGGCTTTCCTTCCAGGAGCCCAAGGGCACTTGGGCTCTGGGCTGGGATGGGAGGACCACCAAGGCAGAGTAACTTGATTTTCATCATAAAACCAAGAGGTCTGTCTGTCACAGTCAGCAGGAATAAATTCTGGAAATTCTCTAGAAGTGAAGAGTCCTTTCTTGTCAAGGAGCTCACCTCAGGGGTCTGAGATGGGCCCAGGACCTGTGGACTGGCCACTCAGCTTTATGAGTGCATTAGGTGACCAGGCTAGTAGGACCTCCTCCCCATGAGGGTGGTGGGTGCCCTCAGGATGGGCACATGTGTTCTTTTTGCTTAGATCTGACTTTCTACTGTGCTGCCAGGACAGCAGCCCTTGATGTGGTCTGGGTCCTCATGTGGAGATCCTTGACAACCCACCGAGCAGGAGAGAGGCTTCTAGGGGTGCATCCACACCTGGTGCAAAGCATGGGGCTGCCAACACTGCCCTGACCCTAGGATTCATGTCAGGCCTGTATGACTCGGCTGTGTTGGAGGGAACTGGAGGGTGGACAGGCAGAAGAAAAGGAGAACTGAAGCCTCAGACTGAGACGCTGGCCACAGTGGGCCTTGTGAGGACCATGGTGCCAGAGAGGGCAGGCGCCATCGGGGTGTGGGGTAGAGTGCACTGGGGCCCTGTTCGCGGCCACTAATGAAGTCACTGGCGTTTGAACCCAGGGGTTTGGGGGGGTTGTGATGAGATTAAACACTGCACCTTCAGAGCTATTTCAGATGTTTCCCATGCATCATTTTTGCCTGCAGCTTCCACACGGAAGCCCAGCCTGGGTCAGCAAGGCATACAGCCTGGGTTGGGTCTGTGCCCCACCTGTCTCTCCCCAGCCCAGAAAGCTGGCACCTGCCTGAGAGCCACGACTCCTTGGTCTTCTGTGTCAGGCACCGTGAACTCCCAGGCTCCCAGGGAGGCTGCCTGCCTGTGCAGGGCCATCCGCTTTCCGGATAGGCCCTTTCTGGAGGGGCCTGTGCCCTAGGACCCTGCTTCCCTCAGTGGGCTGATGGGCAGACTTCTGTGGAGCTGCACTTGTGACCAAGCGCATTCGGGCCAGAAGGCGTGTCGCATGCTGTGGCAGTGAGGAAGGGCCTGCTGCTGCCTGTGCTGTGGGACAGCCCCGTGACCAGGAAGATGGTGCCTACCTTGAGCAGCCATCGGCCGGGGTGGAGTGAGACCAGCTGAGGGTGGACCAACTCCTGTGAGGCATTTCTGAGGCCATGTGGGCCTTCTCCAAGGCCACAGCCCCACGGGCCAAGAGCCCCACAGGCCATGGCTGCTGTCACCGGGTGGCCCGCACCACGTCCTCCTTAGGAGCGAGGACCAGCTGGCCATCGTGCAGGTGCAGCAGTGGAGGCAGGCTGCTCGAGCTGCCCTTGCTCTGTACGGGAAGGTGAGTGGGCACAGGCGTCCTCACTGGGCCGGTCCTGCAGCCTGGCGTGCTACCCTGTAGGTGGTGTGAAACAGGCCAGGGACACTGACTTCCAGAGGGCACAGGCAGGGGCTGAGGGAGGCCAAGGAGTTCAGTAGGCAGGGCAGGCTGTGACAGGTGCAGCTCTGCCCCCTGCACGAGTGATTCAGCACTGTGTCTCCCCACCTGGGGAGATGGGGACAAGCAGGCAGGTCACAGCAGCGAGACAGTGAATCTCCCTGACAAACGTGAGAACAGGCATGTGGGCACCGTTTCTTGTCCCTTAGAAAAGCAAACAGAAAACTGTCCTGGTCAACCAAGGAGCCTCCCCTTGTCCCTTGGCACGGACCTGGTCCCCGGGCACATGTATGTGTGTGTGAGAGCACACACCACTGTATACCTGCATGGTTGCTGCTCACGGGTGCCAGGAGACCCGGCTGAACCCTCTGCTCAGGAAGCACAGAGGGCCCTGTGGCGTCCGTCAGTGCAGGCTGGGCCAGGCGCAGACACACCCACATCCTGTGGGCTCAGTCTGATCTGCGCTGTCCGTTAATCGGCTCCTGCTGCCCTGGAGGCTCCTGGACAGTGTCTGCCTGCTGGGGTCAGCACGGCCTCTGGGAGGGCCTGCCCACTCGTCCCACACTGGCCAGCTCCCACAACCCCTTTCACCTGCAAGCCAGGTGGCCAGTGAGGCAAGATCCTGGGAAACAGTTTGGAAACTGCAGGTGGATCGGGAAGGGTCAGGTCAGAGAAGTGCAGGGTGGCCCCCCCGGCAGTCGCCTGGCCTCCGCTCCCTCTGAGTTCTGCCTGGTGAGCACAGGAATGTAATGAAGTGTGACAGGTCTGAGTCCCCAGCTGGCACCTGCAGTGTCCACGGCAGCGGTGCAGGGCTACTTGGCCCCCTGCACCTTCTGGTTGTAGGTGCCTGCGTGCTTGTAGCCGGGCACGTAGCCCGACTCATCCACCAGGTCCACGCGGCCGGCCTTGCCCTTGCCCTTGCCAGATGGGTCAAAGCGCTCCTTGTGGGAGCCAGTGAACTTGGTTGTGTCTGTGAGCCTCGACACGGTGGGTGAGGACACGGCTTTCTGCAAGAGAGTTGCCAAGAGCCCACTGCAGAGGCGGGGTGCGGGGTGCCACCACCTGCCACTCCTTAGGATGGGGAGAGTGAACGAGGATGTGAGCCTGCCTAGCTGCGTGTCCAGCCCCCTGCCTCTCCTGGCCCGGTCAGCCCTCAGCTCGTGGCCTGGCACATCTGCCAGTGCTGCCAACCCTGTTTGTGCAGTGCTGACCTCCAGGGACTGCCTGTGGCCTCCCCAGGGTAGGGACAGTGAGGACAACCAGGCCCCACCCTACCCTCCAGGCCCTTCCCCACCCCCAGCCCCCTGCACTCACCGTGACCCCCGAGATGACTGGTGACCGGCCCTCGATGAGCTGGTGCACCTCGCGCACAGCGTCCTCTTTGCTCTTGTCCTTGAAGCGCTTTGTAGCCAGCTCCTCGAGCGCCTCCTGGAACTGCTCAAAGGTGATGGTGCGGCAGGACTTCCCCCTGTGGGCGGCAGCCCGCAAACCAATGGCAGAGGCCCAGGGAACTGGCTCACAGCATAGCCAGCATCCTGCCCCACGCTTTGCTCCACAGTGACCCAGCAGGCAGTGGCCATGGGTGACCAGCAACGGCAAATTTCGGGGAAAGAGCTTTGAGGACACGTGATCTTGTGAGCCACCAGATGCCAGAACAATCCTGGTCTGGGGCTGGCAGTTCTGCCTCCACATGAGTGCAGAGAGAAAACGTGGGAGAGGAGCCTGAGGTCAGGTTACCACGGGGCAGGATCGGGAGGGGCCGCCTCCCCAGCCCACACCTGCCCCCCCAGAGCCCTGCCGGACCAGGTCACCGAGGCAGGGGCAGCCTGAGTGGGCGCTGCCAGCCTGCACGTGCACCTGGCTGCCACACATCATGCAACGCATCCCTGGGCTGCGCAGACGCCACCTTCTGGAGGTCACAGGCAATTTCAAAAGAAACTGAAGTTGTTCTTTATCTTCTGTAGTCTTACTTTTAAGAGTTTTCTGCTTTGACCCCAGCTAATCCACCTGGAGAGGTGTTTGCTGTCTCGACACAAGGCGACGGGGATGAGACTCCGTCTGCAAAGGCTCTACACAGCACTGGGCACTGGGGCTCGTCAGGGTGGGCTGAGGAGGGCTGCCTCCCAGCCCATACTCGGGCCCAGCAGCACAGAGCCCTACAGGGGTTCACACAGGCACCCTTGGGCAGAGGACCTCGCACAGCCAGAGTGACAGGTCCAAGAGCAGAGCCAGAGGACTGCCGCTATGGGCTTCTGAAACATGCTGTGGAGCCGCACCAACAAGACGGGACTGCCGAGGCCCCGAGTCCAGCAGCGGCTCCACCGTGTGGCCAGCTGATCTGCAAAGGTGTAGAGGCAAGCAGAGGAGAAAGGACTGCCTCAGCAAACAGCAGGACAACTGGGGTCCCTGCACACCGACACCCCCCCCCACTGTCCACAGTCTACCCTGCTTGCAGAATTAACCCGGAACAGATCCCAGTCCTTCCTGTGGGGCCTTGGCCAGCTTCTGGAAGGACACCTAGGAGAAAACCTTTGTGCCCTTGAGTTGGACAGAGGTTTCTTCAAAAATGACATCAAGACACTTCTATAATGAAAGAAAATGGGTGAATCAAACTACCAAAATTTTAAAACCATGCTCTTCAAACAGCATTAGGAAGAAAAGGCAAGCCACAGATTGGGAGACAGTATTTGCAAAACACAAACCTGATTAAAAAGATAGACCTTGTATCTAAAAGAAAAAGCCCAGGGTAAACAATGGGCAGTTCCCAGACATTCATTCACTTCTCCAGAGAAGACATGCAGGAGGCAGAGGTGCACATGTGGAGGCAGCCCATCATCTGACACCGGGTGGTCAGAACCATCAAGGAACCGGCCCTGCCCAAGCTGAGGACACACAGCCTGCATGCACCATCCCAGAGCACTTCGGAGGACCCTGCAGCCCCATTCCTGGGTTCTCATGACAAATGAAGGCTGATGCGCTCACATAACCCCCACACCTGAATGTTGTCTTGATTTTACTCCTGTCAAACCTGAAAACAACCTAGATGCCCTTCAACTGTGGCTGGATAAAGGTTGGGTTCTATGAGACCACTCAGCAACCCAAGGACAAACCAGTGGTGTGCACAACGCAATGGACCTCAACTGGCTGGGCTGGGGACCAGACATGAAGATGCCACCATGCGGTCCCCAGCAGCCCTGCATGTTCACCAGCAGCTACAGGATTCACTCATGTCCTGAAGACCTGGGACATTCTTAGCAAACATCCCGTAGCCAGGAAGAAAGGGGCTGGAGGGTAAGGCCCCCGGGGAGATCCATGGGCCTGGGAGGACCATAGAGGGCTCACACTTGGGCCAGAGTCCAGGGGGGTACCAGGTCTCACAGTGCAGTATGTGCCCTGGAACACTCTAGAGCCATCTGTGATGGGGCAGACGTGCAGTGTCGGGGTGGGTCCAACTCTTTGGCCCTGAGCCCCGACACACACCAGCTGCTCCCTGTGACCACTGGGTGGGCAGCCACTGGGGCAGCTGGCCCTGCAGCCCAGCGGTGCCTGGAGGTGACAGTCTTTTCTTCCTCTCTGGGCCCTGGGCGGGTGTTTATCTAAGGTCCCCGGGGACACACTGTCCTGGGCCATCAAAGACCTCTTGTCTCCTGCTCTTGGGCTGGCCCAGGCAGACGCGGATGCCAGCCTGGTGACCCTCTCGGGACACACAGCTCTCTGGACAGCCTCTGCGCCAGGCACCGCCAGGGGGTAGGGCCCAGGCAGGGGCTCCCCCATCCGAGGTCACATTCAGAGCAGGCATCTAGCACCGAGTCCTCTTCAGCCTGTGCTCCCACAAGTCCCTCTGTGCTGCTGGGGAGAGGGAGCCCCAGTGTCAGCCTGGCTCATGGAGAGCTCCCCGCAGGGGACAGGCGCTCCTGCCCAAAGCAGTCCCCAGCAAGTTCTAGAATGACAATGCCTCTCTCTTCCTGGAGACATGTGATCTGCTGCAGGCTCTCCTGCCATCAGACCTTTCTACAGTGCCCTCGGGACCAGAGGCATACCCAGGGCTCCGGCCTCCCCACCCTGACTCTGGGCTCTGCCACCCAGCTCCCCACAGGATGTAGCCTCACACATACAGCCTGTGCTTGCTCTCCAGGCCCTGCTTCCTTGGGCCAGCATGAGGCCTGCTTGGGCTCTTGGAGTACATGGGGCCTGGCGGGGGCCCTCCGAGCCCAGTACAGACCCCAGGACAGAGGCAGGGCCCAGGGTCACCCACCAAGGCCGCCCCCAGCCTGCCTATGGGCATCTGGCAAAGGGACCCAGTGTCCAGAGGCAGAGATGGGGGATGACTTGGGAGAGATGGGAGCCTGCAGAAGTGGCCTCCAGAGGGCAGAGCTGGGGCTCCTGAGGGCGGAGAGCAAGACTGCACCAAGCGCGAATCCCAGGATGGTGGGGATATGCCTTGTGGGAAGCCCTTCTGAGGGGCCTGGGGCTGTCACCGCTGACCCATGTCAGGAGGTCCAGTGGTCCATCGGAGTCATCACCTCTGCCTCCTGCCCAGTAAGCCCTGTCTGTAGCTTGGGGACCCTACCAGGACAGGGCTGACACTGGGGTGGGGCTGGGTCCAAGGCCCTGGCACCTTGCAGCCCAATAACCAGACCAGCCCGAGCACTCAGAAAATACAGGGCCTAGAGGGTCTCCATCTCAGGGAACCAGCAATCCTCAGCACAGCTGATGGGGGACGTCCCCGGGCCGGGGCCAAGAAGCTGAGCAGCGAGCAGCCATGCCCCGCTGGGTCCCAGGCACTGCTCGGGGGCTGTGTGGTGGCCACCCGAGGCCCAAAGGTATGGTCTCCAGCCATCACCAGCCTGCATGGAGGGACACGTGGGGCCACAGCATTGCTTACTCCGCCTGAGGGGCAGGCCTATCCTTAGGGCTCCTCCTAATGTGTCATCCCCTTGTTCCTTCGTTTTCACAGGGGCCAGGGTCAGGGTCACCTCTCCTGGGTGGCCCGGGGGTCAGCTGCCTCTGTCCACCTGCTACACTAGCCTGGGCAGGAGTTGAACCACGGACACACACCTGAGGTCATGCGGACGACTCCCTGGTGTTTGAGTCTGCACACAGATGGTTGGAGAGGCCTGGCCACTGCAGGGTCACGAGAACTGGGGAGGCCTTGACCACAAGGCCACAGGGGCTCCAGCCCACTGACTCCCCAGCCAGAGATGCTCCATGTGGCCTGTCTGGCGCCCAGTGGAGGCCAGAACCCCCAGGTCTCCCTTCAGGCTGAAGCAGTGGCTGCCCTGCACGGTCATCTGTGGCCACGAGAGGGCACTGCAGATGTAGGACCACAGCCTTGCTGGTACCATGCCAATGTCCCAGGGGGCTGTGCTGGGCTCTGGAGCCCCTCACCAGAGGGCACAGTGGGTGTCACAGTGGGGCAAGGCTGGGTGGACACTGCTCCCTAGGGCCTGGCCATGGTCCCTGACACCTGGCGTTTGGAGACGTGTACAGGTAGCTTCACGCACAGTACCTGCCCCTCCCAAGGCTGGCCCAGTCACGTGCTGGCGGGGCCTCCAGGCCTCTGTGCTGCTCCACTCTGGGCGTGGAAGGCCGTGTTGGCTGCAGCAGCTTCCACACTGAGGTTCCCCAGCTGTCAGTTCCCTTTGGGTCCTGCCGGCTGCCCGGGCACGGACTGCACTCTCTGCCAGTGGCTGCCAGCGTGCCATTCCTTCTAACCTGTGATCATTTGGCCGCCCACTCCTGGCGGCCCCACAGGGTGCCAGGTGTCGACAGAAAACCGGAGCAGCCACCTCACCGCAGAGGATGCTGGAGGCCCAGCAGACGCGCCTGGGCCCGGAGGCTGCCACTCCCGGCAAGGCCTCTCCACCTGGTGTCTTCGGTCAAGCCAGGAGGCGTGGGTGGCACAAGCTCAGCCCAGGTCCCCATGTGCCCCCCCCAGAGACGCACACACACGTCTGCACAGACACACAGGTGCACACATGCACATTCGCATGCTATCCGTGGCCCTGCGGTCTCCATGGGCCCCACCCAGGCCCCCATGAACCTCTGGAGTGGCCCTCCAGCCCCTGCAAGGAGGGGGCAGTCTAGGTTAACAATAGTCTTCCATAAAACGAGGTATAGAGCTGCAAGAAATTTGTTTAAAATTTAACACATAGTAACATCAAAACAAACAAGCGCTGCCATGGCGACAAGGACCTAAACAAAGGCTTGCAGATACCCCAGCTGGCCCCACGCCCACAGAGCCATGGCAACCTGCCCCGAAAACAGAAATAGTTGTACTTTTTCTCCCCAGTGCTGTCAGTGTCGGCAACTTCCTGGCAGTATCTAGGTGACTTCCTCACGGCCCTCAACTCCCCCAAGGCAGTGAGGCCTCGTCCTCAGGACTGTGGACACCCACTCCTCAAGGTGCAAGACCAGTGACCATCATGGCCCCATTCCCCAGAAATCAAGGGAACTTCGTGGTGGCCGGTTGCCCTGAGCTCCCAGCCCTTCCTGTGGGACCCCAAGGCCCTGGCAGGGTCATCATTCCCCATGGCCCAAGACCTTCCTGGGGCCACAGTCCCCAGAGTCCTAGGGACACTATCCCTCTTGGGGACAGGTTATATGTTTGGGGTCTCTTGGTCCTGCATACCTTGGGGTCAGGAAACCCTCCCCAGAAAAGGGACCCTTTGGGAGGAATGAGTCATAAGGAGCCAGGTCAGGGGACCCTTGTCAGAGCTGGGGCCTCCTGGGGGAGGGCTCACAGGGACCCAGTAATCCAGGTTTTCGGAGGCCAGGCCAAGGGCGTGGGAGGTGCAGGTGGCCACCCCAGGCAGAGCTCAGAGTCCTGAGGGCCCTCGGCCAGATGCCCTCGCCCAGGATCCTCATCTTGGCCACTGCATCGACACTGACCCAGGGCTGCCCAGCTGGACACCTCTCCCACGTGCCCACAGCCCACTGGGCACCAGGCCCAGCAAGGCACAGCCTGGCTGCCCTGACTGCATTACGACCTTGAACCCAGGTTGGGCCCTGGCTAGGGCTGCAGCTGCCACTCTCCGGCCTGCACCCCCAGAGCCTGGCTCCACAGTGGGAAGTGGGCCACACCTCAGCCCCTATGTGTCTAAGAGCCGAAGCCCTTGAAACGGGACTCAACTCTTGGGGGGCCAGCACCCCTAGGGTGGGAAGGACACAGGTCCTCCAAGAGAATCATGAGCACACTGGCTGCCACCTATAAGGAGAGAGCAGAAAGAAAGCCCCACACGCATCCCACATGTGCACACGCACAGCTGTGGCATTCCAGGGGCCCGGCCTGCACAGGCCACTTCTGCCAGGCTCCCACCCGCCCTTCTAGGCACATTCTCAAGGGCTGAGCCTCAGGCTGTCTGCCCCTGGGGACTAACACTGGTCAGGTGAGGACAGGCCAGGAAGTGGAGCATGTGGCCTCTCCACTTAGACACCACGGCCAGCTGCTGGGAAGCCACCAGCCACCACGCAGGGGCTCTGGGCCCTACCATTCAGGCCCAAGCTATAACTGGCCCTCACCCATAGCTGGCCAGCCCACCAGAAAGGCCCGGTCACAGGACCTGCCCGTCCCTGCCTGGAATGTTCACTCAGGCCCACACACAAGGCCAGGAGCTACTGGAGGCTGCACATTTCACACCAGGGGACAGCAGGAACAGCCGGGCTAGTCTGTTCCCCAGACCTACACCATGACAAGCCTGAGAACATGGCCTCCCCTTGGCCCAGGCTCACAGGCAGGCCTGTCCCCTAAGTCATGTGTCAGTCACCAAGGAGTCTGGAGACAGCAAGCATCGAGCCCCCAGGTTGGTCCACAAAGGGGCTACCACCATCAGCAGTGCCGAGGCCCTGGCTGCCTGAGCCCCCAGATGCACACCTGGGCCCAAGAGATCTGTCCCTGCTCGGTGAGGTGACACTGGGCCTGCTCGGAGTGGCTGTGGATGGAGCAGGAGGGAAGGAGCAAGGACAGTGATGGCGAAGCTTTCAGAGCTTCCAATGATAAGAAAAAGCCAGCTGTGGCACTCGTGCCTTAGGTTCACCACCCCTGAGCTAGGAGAAGCCCAGGGCCATGTGCCAGACGGTGTGGGGTCTCCAGCCAACCCCTGTCCAGCAGGGCTGGTACTGGCAGAGCCCCTAAGACCCCAGGGGCAGGGACGTGCAAGCCAGGGCAGAGGGAGGTCTGAAGGGCAGGGCTCAGCCCTGCGGCCTCTGTGGTGGGAAAGGGCCCCACACCCTGACCCCGAGCCACATTCTGGCCCCAAGCAACTGAACTCTAAGAGACAGCACCAGATGGCAGAGATGGCTGGGGACAGAGCAAGGACCACACACAGCAGGGCTCATCCATCCACGGGGCCTCCTCATAGGGGTCAGGGGACACCCAGAGGTCTAGGGGCCTCCAGCCAGGGCCCCAGGGAACCGAAGGGGTTCTGGCTCAGCAGTACGCAGCCCCTGGGGAGGGCCACGACTGGGGACTGGCCTGGGCAGGTTCACAGCCAGTCCAGCCCAGCTACCCAATCGCAAGTTGTCCTCACCCGGCCCCACCGCTACCTCCCCGGTCACCTCTACACCCGGGAGACCTGACTTTCACCAGCAGAGTGGTGACAGGAAGCCATAAAGACCGTGCCACCCATCACGGCTGGAGGAGAGGCCCGGCAGGACACAGGGTCTTGATGACAACCCAGCCCCTGAGAAGCCCACGGCCGCTGGGAGGGAAGGCAGCAGTCACGGGCACACCAGTAGCAGCCGGCAGAACCAAGCTGAAGTGGAGCCATCTCCACACAGGGAGGCTGGCCCGGGAATGGTGACAGGAGGAGGATGTCCTGGTGCTCAGAGAAGCCCGAGGAAATGACACGCTTGCGCTACCTCAGCACGCTTCCCGATATGCAGGGGAAAAGGCATGTGCACATGAACCCAGGTGCAGGGACACAATGTGTGCACCCATGACACATGCAAAATGCACGCATGACGCAGGGACACGTGTGCATGCACACAGAGCAAGCAGGGCATAATGCTACGACTGCAGGGGCTACCGGTGTGTGCGTGGCTGCTCTGTGCTCTGTCCTTTCAAGTCCAAAGCTGAGAGAGGAGCAGCAAGGGCTGCAGAGGGCGAGAGGCAATGGGGTAGAGGGCCGGGCCCTCACCACCTCTGACACATGGGCAGGGAACACCCGTCAGAGCAGCTCTCGCTCAGGTCCAGCAACTGCTCGCTGACCCGCGGTCGGGCTCGACAGTTGGCACCCAGCCCAGGGCACAGGGGCTCGGGGGCGCTGCTCCTGGCCTCGACCCGGGCGACGGGAGCTGAAGTGCACGCCGGGCCCTCTCCACACACTTACTTGGTCTTGCTGAAGACGATGTCCACGTCGGTGACCGTCACGCTCTTCCCGTCGATCACATGGCAGTCCCGGCACAGCTTGGACCAGTTCTTGCCATGCATCTCCCGCCCTGTGGCACGTGTGTCCCCGTGCACCGCAAAACGCCGGAAGGCCTCCTCCAAGGCGCTGAGTGCTGGGGCTGCAGCCGCCCCCTCGTTGGCAGCCTCCGACTCCTGTGACAGCCCCTTGGCTGCCTTGTCTCTGGCAGGGTCCCCTGGGGACTTGGGGAGTGTCCTGCTGGTGGCTTTGGCAGGCTTGGCCTTGCCGTCGGCCATGATGCTAGGGAGGAGAGAAGAAAGAAAGAGTCACTCGGCTTCTTAAGGGCCCGTCCCTGGCTGGCCGGCCACAGAAGGGGAGGCTCACGGTGCCGATGGCAGCAAGTGCCAGGAAGTGGCCTGTCGGGGACAGGCAGGTCTCTGCAGGTTCCAGGGCCCCTCGGAGCCAGATCCCGGGAGGCAGTGTCAACCTGCTGGCTGCTGCCCAGGGGCCCAGGCTAGAAGCTTGGGTCTGAGCTGGGCACGTCCCCACTGGCCACAGTTCAGCTGCTTCCCATGACATCTGCTACCTCACTCAGGGCTGAGCCATGGCCAGGGCGGGGTGGGGTGGCCCTGAGGACATTGAGGAGGGGAGCCCAGGAACCTGGCACATGTGGCTCCCCGTGCCTAGGCAAGGGACCCGTGTGTGCCAGGGCTCAGGGAGAGTCGTGGTGCTCTGGACCACGCAGGGCAGCAGGGGACACCCCTGGGGCTGAGAAGGCTGAGGGGCTGTGTCCCCCCGAAGGGCTCGGGAGCTCGGGGCCACGTGAATGTCCCCTCCATGGGCACCAGGTGGCTCAGGCACGTGGTCAGGGCTCCCTGACATGGGCAGGCACAGAGGTCTGTGGGGGCGGTGCCGTGCCTGCCTCCGGCTCCGAGATTCACAGACCCCTCCCCGCCCCCACCAGAGCAGCCAAATGCCACCTCTGTCATCAAGGGGCCACAGGATGTGGCTCTTGCTGAACCCATGATGGCACCAAGTCCGCAGAGCAGCCAGAACCACTCAGAGGAGGCTCTGTCACCAAGCAGGTCCTGACGGCCAGGTCCCCACACGTGGGCCTTTGTAGATCAGTGGGGCACAAGCAGAGGTCACCCTGTAACGAGGACCAGGCCAGGGCAGAGGAGGACCAAGAGCCAGGGCAGAGCTGCACCAGGGGGCAGACACCCAGCATCCCACAGGGACAATCAGCGCCCCCTCTGCCACCCGCTGGAACCTGAGGACCGAGCAAGGGACACGGGTGACAGTGACATCGGGCAGGGCAGAGGGCGTGGCTGAATGTAGAGGGAGTGGAAGAGGACGTGAGCCCTGGACAGTGCCTGCACATCTCACCTTCCCACCTGCTCCCTGCAGCCCGCCCACCGCCCCAGGCCTGCGCTTCGCCCCCTGGGTGTGTACTGTGTCTCTGCAGGGCACCCGAACCCTGCTCCTTTCAGCCCAACTTCAGGGATGTACCGCAGGGACTGCCAGACCTCGTCCCAGCCCTGCCTCCACCAAGTCCCCTGCCGGCAAGCCCCTCCTCCCCCAGCCGCCACGAGGCTTAGGTGGCAAAGAGGAGAGCAGGTGACAGGGAGGGGCAGCGCCAGCATCAGCCCAGGCCAGGGCTCAGAGGCTCAGCACAGCCGCCTCCCCTTGCGGTAAGGAGGACAACACCGGTCACCGATCCCCTGGGTGTGGGACAGGCCGGGTTACCAGATTTGCATCTGCAGGGGAGGGCAGGGGAGGCCAGGGCAGGTGGAATTACAGCCGCTCTCCGGAGGAGAGGCTGCAGGGACCCTCGGCCAGGTAGGCTCTCACACCCAGCACCTCCCAAGGGGCCCCTGCAGCGCCAGAGGCCGCCACCCCTCCCTGCAGCTGCAGGACCCTGAGGCTCCAGTCTACTCTCCCTGGGAGCCTGTCCCTGTGTCCAAGTGCGCCCAGGCAATGCGGGATCAGACCAGGTGGAGGCTCCCACCCACCCTGGGGCCTCCACTGGAGGAGCCCACGCTAGCCAAGGGCCTCATCAGATCCCTGTCCTTGCACGTGCCGGCGACCCTGACCCCACCCTCATCGCCCAGCAACTGCCCTGGCAGAGAAAGGTGCTCTGTGACCATACCCGCTGCCACTAGGCACCTGAAGCCAGAACATCCCTTGAGAAATGGCCAGGGTGTCAGCAGGTGCATGGGGACCCTGATCCTAGACCTCCTGAGGGCGCCCAGAGGCCTCTGTCTCTGATGGCAGGAGCCAGCACTGCACCTGGGAGAATCCTGCTGACAGCTGCAGAGGCTGGGATTAGGTGACCTGGGGTGCAGAGTGGCGCTGTCCCTCCTTGAGGTGCTGGAGCCCACGCCAGGCCCTGCACTGTGGCTTCCAGGGTCACGTGGGCTCAGGCAGAGGGGCACCTGCCATTGCCACCTGCTTCCGGGAGTGAAGACCCCACGCTTGCTGGGTGGGCCCTTGGGGGAAGGGCTCTGGACACCGGTGGCAGGGGGCTTTGGGGAGCCGCCTCACCCCTACCCCTGCAGGCCCCAGACCAGTCCTCACCTGTCCACCTTGGGCCCCTCAGCAGGCTTTTGGGGCAGTGAGGAGCTCTGGACAGGGCTAGTGGCTCCGGCCCCTTCAAGTCCCTGTACCCCTGCTCCTGTACCCTTGGCCTGTGCAGGGACGACTGGTAACGTCGCACCTGTGCCAGAGGCACTTGGCTCAGGCCACACTGCCTGCAGGAGGTCAGGAAGCCTGCAGCTGGGCTTGACATTGCTCCAAAGGGCAGTCAGTAAGTCACCCTGCCTGGAGGTGCGAGCCACTGGGCTGAGGAAGGAAGGGGGAGAGGCACCTCTTCTGAGCCTCCCAACACACACAGGGACCACCCTCTCTCGAGTGCCCGGCTCCAGGGCAGCCTGGTGCCAGAACGCTGATGTGACAGGTGAGGGCGGGGCACAGGGGAAGCGCAGTGCCACAGACCCCCAGGGATGCTCAGCTTCTCAGAGACTCCTGTGACCACTGGCCGGGTGCTGGGTTCCAAGGCCCTCATGGCTGGGGATGCCAGGGAACAGCACCTGGGGAGGCCACAGCACCCTGAAGGCTGGGAGAGAACCATGTGCTGAGGGAGAACAATCAGACAGTGTCCCTAGAGCCCTTCCTTCCCATCTGCTCACATGGGGAGGCCACCCCGGAGTCATGTGAGACCCTGAGCCCAGGCTCTGATGGGGCGCCTCAGAGCCCGGGCACCAGGCCGTGCTGCCCCAACGAAGGGGCTCTTCAGTTCAAGCCCACTCGAGCACAGCACAGCCCTTTGGCCATTGTTGATTTCATCATGATGTGGCCACTTGCCCGCTCCTCCCTGGACATTCGATGTGAGTGCCACTCGTCCCAGGCTAGCACAAGGCCGGCTTTTTCTGCCTGGGCGCCCCTTGGGCGTCCCTCTCTACAGCTGCTTTGGGCATAATCAATACTGGGGTCCTGTGCACTTGGGCACAGAGCAAGTCCCAGAAGCCGAGACCCAGCGGCTTTAACAGCCTGCTCAGGTGGGTGGAAGTCAGCTCGGACCGCTGGTCCAGACAGGTCCCCAAGGCCACCCTGCTGCCCTTCAGAGGGGCCCAAGAATGAAGCCAAACCCCATGCTGCTCCCTGTGCCCGGCAGTGGAGGGCAGGGGGGAGCAAGCACTGCTCATCGTAGGTCCACACGTCCTCACCCTGGACCCAGGAGCAGGCAGGGCTGGGAACGGGTGGGAGGGGCACTGATCGTCCGCTGCCGCTGCTCCCTGGGTCAGGACTGACCATGGGCCTGGCCTGCCCAGGACAACAGTGTCCCTGGTGTGGGTGTCTGTGTGGCCAAGCTCCTGAGTCCTGTGGGAGGTGGCACAGCTCCCTTGGTTTCCTCAGACCCACCAGGATGCCCACCTGCTTTGGGGACCTGAGCCCCACAAGGGCTGCTGTTCTGCAGCCCAACATAGGGCCCGACAGCGCTCCTATGAGGATTTCCATCCCTGAGGGATGCAGCAGCAAGGTGCATCCTGGAAGAGAGCTGCCTGCAGCAGGCAGCAACCTTGCAGGGCCCTGTTCCAGGCTTCCAGCCTCCAGCACTGTGAGAGAGGCATTTCTGCTCTTTACATCACTGCTCTTATGTCACCTGCCTCAGGGGTTCTGTTCTAGGAACACCAGAGTGGTGTGACTACAAGCCAGAGACAACAGACACACCAGGAGGGCTCCTTCTGGCTCCAGGCAGAAGGGTTCTGTTGTGTTGAGGCACTCAGTGTGTGTCCCTGTGTCAGTGGCCTCTGGATTCTGATGCAGCCTGGTAACCAGGAGAGGTGGCAGCCTCACCAGGGGCACAGAGGAAGCCAAGCCCATGGGGAGGTGGTACAGGGGGCCAGAGGCCAGACAGGGCAAGGCTGGGTGTTCTCCAGGGGTCAGGCCTGAGTTCAGCCCCAGTAGGATGGGCTTTCAGCAGGAGGCAACCACAGGACATTTGTCTTCTATGACACCCGCTGTCCAAGCACAGACTATGGGGCAGACGAAAAGAACACACAGAGAGGTGAGGAAAGACCCGGGACCACGGGGCCCTCAAGGGGACTCTGTCAGCTGCACTCACGTGCAGTGGGGTCAACCTCCAGCACAGGAAGGAAACTCACTCTCCCTGAAGGTCCCCGGATCAAAACCGAGAACTTCTGTCCACGAAAACAGCGTGAAGAGGCTGAAAAGGCAAACTCCAGGGTAGGAGACACTTGCTATACATGACAAACGCTGGCCTGCCCAATACGCTGAGCACCTCCACGGATGGATAGGACAAGGACAGACAGCGCAACAGGAAGGGATGGCCAAGTGCCTAGAAGGCAGAGTCAGGAAGATGCAGAAAACCCCAGCATCAGGTGGTGGCTCGTGCCTTCCAGGGGGTCAAATTGTAAAGGCAGAGGGAGGGTGGGAAGGCAAACAAACGTCCAGCCTCGGGGAAAGCTGCTGGGCCCTGTGCACTAAATCTGAAGACACTCATTACCTGGGGCCCCACAACCCCAATTCTGGATGTACCAGAAGGAGGTGCAGCCATGTGCTCCAGGGCACCCCTGACTGGGGAGCAACCAAAGCCATGTTCACAGGACCCCGTGGCTGGGATCAGTGAGCACAGCAGAATGACATCCCCCCGCACCAGTGCACATCTCACAGCTGAGACCGTGTGCTAGGCCCTCCCCACTCCCACAGAGATGCGTGGGGTGGCAGAGGAGGGGCCAGAGGCCTGGACCACCGGACACCAGGAGGTGGCCTTGGAAGCTTTCTCCGACAGCTGTCCGGGGTAGGTGGGTCGCAGGAGCCCGGCAGGGGAGGCAAGGGGAGATGCGCTTCCTCAAGCACTGCCATCACCTCACTTTTGGAAAGACCTTTTCTATTTCTTCCCCCAGATAAAGCTGTGCGTTTGGACATTTGGAGATCACAGCTCACAACCAAGTTCCTGCAGGTTGTTGCTCAGTTAAGGCAGGGATGTGGACCCAGGCACCTTAAATCTTGATTGAGAAGTGAGATTTGGGGACAGCCACTGTACGTGTCTACAGGGCTTTTCCCTGAAAGCAGCAAGCCAGCTTCCCGTGGGGAATGGGGTTCCAGGGGCTGCTGACCACAGCAAAGCCCATCAAAGCCATTCCCAGGGTCTGACCAGAAGAGACTCCCTCCCTGAAGGGTGTAGTCAGCTGAGATGGGGGGACGCTGAGGGGAGGTGAGAGGGTTCCCTGGGTGGAGGATGCTGGGGGCGGGGGTGCCTCAGGCAGGATGCCTGGGAGAGAGATGCAGTCGCAGGGCTGAGGGATGCAGAGGCCTGGGTGTGGTGGCCGCGCCCACAAGGAGGACACTGATCCCCTCAAGGAGGGGGGTGGGGGACCTGCCTGAGCCCCAGATGCACCGGGCAGCCCCACCCTTCCTTCCTGGAAACAGCTCTGGCTGGACAGTGGGAGAGGGCAGGTCCACTCTGGGCTGGCTGGGTGAGGGCACTGGGCTCACCCCAGGGTGCTCGAGGGCCCCCGTCTCCTCCTGGCCTTCTCACCAGCATCGGCTGCTATAAATAGGCCGGCGAAGTTGGCAGCCTCTCCCAGGAGCTGCTTCTTCTCAGCATCCGGGGACCAGGAGGACGCGCAGGGAGATCTGCAGCTCCCGATTGCTCCCCAACCTCCCCGGGGACGGGCGCCTTATATTTCCCCGAGGTACATTTCCCAAGAGATTCAGGAAAAGGACCAAACAACGGCATTGGGCTCCTCCACACTCTGCCTGACCCCCACCTCCCGCTCCCAACCAAGGATTTCCCGGGGCCCCTGGATCGCACCTCCGGCCTCGCGGGCCTCCGGGTCAGGCGACTGGACCGCTCGAGGCGCGGACAGCGCGCTCCCGACGGGTGGCTCAGGCGTCGCGGTCACCTGCGCGACCTGCGGCGATGACAGCTGCGCGCGCCTCCCGCCCCGACCCCGGCGCCTGGAGGGTTACCGAAGGAGACGACACCGGGCCGGGGCCGGGGCCGGGGCCCGGGCTGCAGCTCGGCGGCCTCGCCCCTCCGCGCCGGCACACGGCCGATGGACCACCGGGGGTCGCGACCAGTCCCCACCGCGGCCCCGCGCATCCGAAGGCCGAGGAGCGGCAGGGACCAGCCGGCCGAGAGCTCCGGGTGGCCGACCTGAGCCCGTCCTCACCCGCCGGGCCGCGCCCAGCCGCTTACCTCGGAAACCAGAGACTGCGGAGGCGCCTCCGACTCGGCCGCGCGCCCGACCGGACCGAACGCTCCTCCGCCTCCGCCCGGCCCCGCCCACCCGGCTCAGGCCCGCCCCCGGGCATTCGGCCCCGCCCCATCCCGCCTCTCGGGTTCGCTTCAAGACCCCCGCAGCCCCACCCCGCCCCGCCCAGGCCCCAATCCCTGCCCACTCCGGCCAGCCTGCCCCGCCCTGCTGGGCCCCTAGCCCCGCCCTGGCCCCGCCCCGCGCGCTCCGCGGCCTTCCTTACAAGGCCGCCCTCACAGGCCCGGGGCCCGAGTCCGCTCGGCGCAGGGCGCGGCCGCGCGGAGCGTGGGAACCAGGCGGGCCGGGAGCCCAGCGGGGCAGGAGCTCGGGTCGCACCTGGCCCGGGGGGGGGGGGGCGCGGGGCGGGACCGGGGAGCGGTTGCAGGGCCACACCACCCCTGCTAAGGGCTTCGCGCTCTGTCCCCGTGCTGCGGCTCCGGGATCATCCGGGACACCTGGCCCGGCTCCGCCCGCAGCGCCTGGTGGGGAGGGCACGCCAGCTGCGGGGTGGTCCTCGACCCTCGGGACGAGGCATCGCCCGGGACGCTGGCTCGCAGCACCCCCTAGAGGGTCGCTTCCAGCTTTTCTAGTGTGACGCAGCCAAGAAGCAGAGTCCCCGAGACCACCACCGGTCTCGTTCAGGTCCCTGTGTTCACTCTTCTGGCCGCAGCCCCCCTCCCGGGCCCTGTCCTTGTGCCCTGGCTGCAGGCCTCCAACCCCTGCTCTTTCCGGGCTCCAAGCTGCTGTGAGTCCGAGCTCTGCTTCCCCCGAGACTCTAGCCAGGTTAGAGGACAGCGACAGCAGCAGGAGTGTTGGGGTGCTGGGCGTGTGACAGGCCAGCCTCTTCCGGGGTGTGGTTCTGACACCACGGCCAGGTTGGGCTGGTCGCAGCTGTGCCCTTGGAGACAGCTTGCTCCTCTCCAGGATGGTCCCTCTCCTGCTCTGCTTCCTCTCAGACCTTCTGGTTCCTTCTGCTCAAAAGTGGCCAAAGGTTTCTTCTAATTCCTGCTGTCCTGAAAGGTGCCCAGTTAGAGGCAGAGGACTCAGGAGACTTGAAAAGGGCAGCGCTGACCGGCCCTCTGTGGGCCTGAGGTTTTGTTTGGATTGAGGATCAGCGAGGGGCGCAGCCACAGAGCCCCAGGCAGTGGAAATGATCAACACTGTGCACGCGGCACTGGAAATGCTTCTCGCTGGAAGGTTCCTGCAGTGTGTGAGCTGCAGCCAGGGGGACCCCAAAGCAGGTGTCAAATTGCACTCTTTGCCAATAAAACCTCAGGGGGAGGTCCATGTGGCTTCAGGAGGGGAATCATGCAAGGTCCCCCAGGAGGAGAGGAGGGCTGGGCAGGAGAGGGACCCCCTTGTCCGTGTTGCCAGGGAGGCCTGAGCAGCCCCAGACAGGAGAAAGGAGGACACCAGGGCTGGATCTCTGCTGTGGACGCAGCGGTGTGGAGCTGGCTGGCTCTGGCCCAGGCTCCCCCATGGAGCTGGGCAGTCCAGGAGGGCCATTACTGGCTATGAGTGACCTGTGGGCACAGGCCTGTTACTTCCACAGTGCTGATGAATCACCTCGAGCAAGGCACCAGGCCACCTCAAGTCCAGAAAGTTAGATCCCAGTTTGGAAAAGGCCACCTGGCCAGTTGGCCCTGTCAGGTGGCTCTGCCCTGCAGTACTTGATTCCCTGAGCAGGATCTGGGCTGTCTCGGTTCCGCTCGAGTTGTGCAGACTGGCCAGTGTCAGAGGGCACGTGTCCACACTGCTGTCCAGTGAGACAGGCACTGTCCTTTCCCAGTGCTAATAATGCCCCTCAGACAGGGTGGCCTGTACACCCATCACTCACTCAGAGCCCCAGAGCCTGAGTGCAGCCTCTCACTGTGGCTGGGCTGGGGGCCTCGGAGGACACACAGCTGGGGGTGGCCTCACCAGCCCTCCAGGAGGAAGATGTGGGAGGGGACAGCCTGGGACATAGCCTCCTGGCAAGCTAGGGCCTGCCTGCCTGGAGCTACTTGCAGCAAATGACTCCTGGGACACGTGAACCCCTCTTTTCTCCTAGCAGGAGGACTGTCCAGACCTCACCACTGTCCTGTCACATCTCCCAGGTCTTGGTGGCCAGGCTCTCCGGGGCCCTGAGGGACACTGCAAGCCCAGACAGGGATGGGAGGGTGGGGGCCTGGGTCTTCCAAGACTCCATGTGGAGTTCTGCTGCAGTGGGTAGGACAGGCGGACAGAAGCCTCTGTGGAGGCCACTGCTGATCACACCAACAAGTGTCAGGGAGGGACAGGACCCTCCTCCAGGCCAGAATGTAATGGCATGGTGGAGCCGGGCTGCCAGGCAGGACCCAGCCTTGGCATTGGCAGTGCAGAGGGAATGGGTCCACCCAAGGTGTAAGCCGACCTCCCGGGGTGCACTATACTGAGGGTGTCCCAGACACCAAGGGCAGAGAGCCTTTGGGGCACAGCCCTATGTCCCTGGGGAGCCACTCCCGGCCTGGATCTGGTGTGCAGTCAGCTGATTCTGCAAGGCACACAGTCCTGAGGCCAGTGCAGGTTCCTTGGGGAATGTGGCTGAAAGTGGCCGAGGCCCTGGGTGCCAGCTCCTGGTCCACCTACATTCACTGGAACTGCAGGCCGAGGAGGGTGCAGGGCTGGGTCCTGCCTGGAAGAGGAGGAGGTGGACGGGGTCCAGACAGGGACCCCGTCTGAGAGACGAGAATTTCCTGAGATTGTCCCCGATGCCAGGACAGACCTCAGCCCATTTCAAGCCATCACGGGGGTGGGGTGGGGGGTGTGGTTCAGGGCCCATGTCGTCTCCATGGCCTTCACCACTGGCAGGCTCTGGCAGGTTTCGTCTCTTGGTGTTCACCCTACGTGGACAGACCTGCCATAGACAACCTGGGGCCTGTTGGTCAGGTGCTGCCTCAGCGGCGGGAGAGGAGGAGGGGGAGAAAGAGAAGTAGGAGGTCGAGCAGGAGGGGGAGAGGAACAGGAAGTGAGCAGCAGCAGGAGGAGGAAGAGGAGGACACATGGCCTCGGGCCTCGGGCCGGCTGGGGTAGACACTACTGCTCCCTCCCTGTGATGCCTGGACCGACGGCCAGCCCTTAGTCCAGCCCTCTGCAGCCTCCACCAGGCCCCTGCCAGGGCTCATCCTGTGCCTAAGGGAGGAAGAGGACTCGCTGGGACTGGCTTCACATTTATTGCTGTCAAAACTTTTACAATTTCCTATAGAACATTCCAGACTTTCCTCTAAAATTAAACTCCTGCCGTCAGCACCAGTAATGACCTCACAGGGTCGCTTCAGGGTTGCTTGAGTGCAGCTGCAGAGGTTTGGAAACTGAGTCCTGGAGAAATGTCACCCCTGAACTAACCAGCAGAGAGCCCACACCGGCCCCAGGCACTGGCCCTGCTCCAGAGCTGCACCTCGGAGACCCCGAGATGTGCTCACCCTCCGCACGCCCTGACAGTGTCTTGGGAGGCCATCTGGCACCAGGTTGGGCCTCCTCCAGCAGCTGGCAGTAGGCTCTCGGGCCACACCGTCCCCTGCGGTCTTGAGTGACTACAGCACACACTCCTCTGCCTGGGCAGTGCACCCGGCTGTGGGGGGCGAAGGCTTCTGGGTAATTTCTGTGGTTACTGGCCACGTCAGGGGCTACCCTCACCCGCCTCAGGAGCGTGAGCACCCAGCACTGCTCTAGGAGTCTGAAGACCCTGCCCTCCTCCGCTTGTAGAGCTGGTGTCCAGGACATTGCTGCTCCCGGAGGGTTGTTGTGGTGCCCACAGGGCTTCTGACAGCTCCTGGCCTGAGAACTTTGTCTCACCAGTTTGTGGACAGCTCAGGGATTCATAGGGACAGCACACGTGTCCTGGCGTCCCCTGTCACCAACCCCGAGGGCTCTGACTGCCCCCTTCTCATTTCTGCCCTATGTCTGTATTTCACAATCTTTAAAATATATCTTAAATCTGAGGCTATGTAGCAACCAAATGGCTCTTAGCCACCACCCCCTTTCTGAAGACAGGAAGTGCAGGGAATATTGATAAAAAATACACTCAAGAAGTGCTTCGTGCATGGCCAGTGACACTGCACCAAGGCGTCTGCACAACCACTGTCAGCTGTCCAAGGCTGAGGGTTGCTGCTGTCCACAGTGGGCCGTCTCCAGAGCACCCTGACCTCACCAGTCATGTCCACAGCCCCTCTGCTGGCCACACAGGAGGACAGCATAGCCTGGTGAGCAGGACAGTGCTCAAGAGGCCCAGGTGCTCCACGTCCACCCCACACACTGCCACCATGCTCTGTCTTTCCTGATCGCGTTCAGCCCGCTTCAGCCCTGGCTGGTCTGCTCTCATCTGCGACTTTTCTACTTATGATTTTGGCTCTGGCTCCTGAGACCCCATCCTGTGCACCTCAGATGAGATCCGGGTGTCTAGGGAGTGGCTTTCTGGATCTGCTCTTTCTCCACATCCCAGTTCTTGGAATTTGCACTGCACGTTTTCCCTCTGGGTCCAGTCACATCTGCTCAAGATCAGGCTGTGAAGTGAGATGAGGCACTGACCATGAAGGCTCTGGGGCCCGGACCCAAGGTGGCTGCTGCTGGTAGGAAGTGAGCGCCCGAACCTTGCTCCTGAGCAGCAGATGAGGCATCGCTGATCC